CTGACTAACAATCAAATCATTTTGTTTCATGCAGTTCTAGTAATGGCTTTAAGAGAATGCAGACAAAAAGTCAAAATTGCAAGCTAAAAGGTTAAATTCGCCATTTATATATATATATATACTGTATATATATATATATATATATATATATATATATATATATATATATATATATATATATATATATATTTTTTTTTTTTTTTTTTTTTTTTTCAAGCTTCCATAATTTAGTACATTGGATGCTGATTTGTATGGTTTATAATCAATTAAGATTTTAATTTCAGAGAATTGCTGTATTTTAAACTTTGTATTTCATAAAATTCTTAAGCTTTAAATCATCACATCACAATGATTTCAGCAGTATCATTGGACACTAAAGACTGGAATAAAGATGCAGAAATTCTAGCTTTGCACCACAGGAATAAACAGTATTTATTTATTTATTGTAATAATATTTCACAACAGCTCTATTTTTACTCCGTTTTTAATCACTTAAAGGCAGCCTTGGTAAATATGAGAAATTATTGATCTCTGAAAGTTTTGAATAGCTGTGTATATTTGGTGAAACCTATGGTTACTACTTTGAAACAGCGAAAGAGTGAATGAGCAGTGATTGAAAACATGAACAGGATGAGGAAATGTTCATGGAATGATTGACGCGCAGAGAAAAAAAAAGGAAATGATAAATGTAAGCTGGGGGACAATTACAAGAGGAAGCAGGAAAATGTTTCCAGGGAATTAAAAGGAAAAATGAAAGCGCGAGAGGGGCATTGAAGAAGAAACATCTGCTCATATAGTGTGAGGGTCAGTAATTGGCTCTCAGCGGCTGATGTCTTTAACACAGATGCAGTGATATCTTTTACACCTGGTAAAAATAGTTACACCGTGTTCCACTTAACACTCATCCTCCCTTACAGCATTACAAACAGGTTGGAGAGAGATTTCTTGTCTTTATATAGTATGGGGAAGATGTCTTTTTTTTACGGGGGTGAAATATTATACTTGAAGTTTGTCCGCACAGTGTCTTGAGATATAATTGTTCACTTGCTTTAAATGTGACAGCTGCTTTTTGAGCCAAGGAAAAGTAAACTTGATATCATAATGGGATCCCACCTAGCAACACACAAAAGCAACTCAGGCTATTGGGAAAATAGTGGACTGTGTACAGCATATTTCACTAGATAAATACTGCGTTAAAATGGAAGTTTTGTTACGTTTATACTTATTAAAGAATGCTGAAAATGTTGTACATTTCTACAAAAATATGATAACAACAACAGCTTTGTTATTTTTTACCTCAATTATACATTATTATTATTAATAATTATTATTATTATTTTCTTTAAATTGCCATTAAATTTTAATGACGCTGTTGTAAAATTATTTGACACTTTTACTGAGACAGTTGAATGACAAATTCAGCTTGTTACACTGAAAAAGTGATCAAATAATTATTCATGACACATTTATAATTATAATGGACTCCAGACAGTCATGTTTATAACAGCATTATGACAAGTCATGTTTTCGTAAAGTCAAGTTTTCATGACAAAGACATTTATATTTGTTCCCCTCCACGTCTTCACAACAAAGACATCTCAAACTCTTTCTTGGCATTTTAATTTATATAACTGAGCAAATGACACTTAATGACAGCTGTCATAAGTGTTACAAATTAAATTAAAAATCCTTTATCAAAAAGAGGTTTATCCAAAACGTAACAAAATAACAGGGATAAAAAATATAACCCCTGGTGCCCCCGCGCTCTCTCTTCCCAAAATATAAACCAAAAACACAACCACTGAGAATTAACAAGAAAATATGAATTATTTACACAAAATAAGGAGCAAAAATAACATCGGGACGAGTTCAGCCAAAATCAATGGCAATAAACCAAGCTAACTAAATTTGAGAAAACTTCCCTGGAAATAGATAAGAAAATAAAATACAGAAAACTTACCTCCCTACTAATAACACAGGAGAAAACGAAAAAAATAAACAGAAGGCACCAAACCTCCCTACCATGCTCCAAGCCAGACAGGGAGAAAAAAACGGGTTTCTCTGAATGTACAACTTCACATCGGCATCTCACAAAACACCATATAAGAGACATCAGCAACAACAAACACTCATTTATATCACTCGAGCAATAATATCTCCACATAAAACAAGTGGGGAATTGAGAGAGAGTGTGGAGCCACTGAATCCATGCTCTCTGAGGGTTTAAATACAGCTGCCGCCAATCCAACAAACACCACACAAACACTACACCACAAAAACTACTCGTAACATAAGCCTGCATAAAATATACTTCATTCATTACATGTGTCTTATGAATACCCCCTTCGACTAAAGTGTTAATGAAATGTTTAATTTATTTTTTTTTAATATCAACAAATATAAATATATTATTTTTGTCAACATCACACTCTAAATTTAATGTAATGTGTCATACAGTAACACGTTACTGTATTCTAATTACTTTTTTGGGGAACGCAGTAATGTAACGAATTACGTTTTAAATGTGTGAAATTTGATTACAGTTACTGAAGTCAATGTACCTGCGCTACTTACCTTACAAATATAGTTTTTAGAAGAAAATAAATGCTTATTTTAAATCACGTTTTCCGTTGCTACGTCAGTTAATGAGCATTATTCGCTTTTAAATTGCTAGAGAACGCAAGCTGAAATGGTTGCTGTCGAGAGTGGTTACTTCTTCAATTGGCCTAAACAGGCTATATTGAATTTGTATACAGAATCAGGAGTGAAGGTTCTGAAAATCTAAAGAAAAGTGCTGTTCATGGGGCCATTCACATATCGCGTTTTTAGTGTGTGCAAGTTCTTTATTTCCAATTTAGGTGCTCGGCTTGCATGCACATATTGGAAGTGATGTGCTACTTGCGCGCTGCTCTCACGTATTCCAGATTTCACATATTCCACATTTAGGCGTTTACAGTTTGTCTCCACAACTGCAGATATAGTATGTGTTTTTCCTACTATGGATGTCAATGGTTACAGGTATCCAGTTTTTTTTTTCAAAATGTCTGCCTTTGTGTTAAAAAAAGACAAACAGGTTTGGAACAAGTAAAAGATCAAGTAATTGACGAGAGAATTTTGCTTTTGGGCAAAATATATTTATAACTGTTTTGAATTTGTCAAGCTGCTGTGTTAAACCTATTGTAATGTTTTTTCACTGAATATTAAATTACTGAAGAAGCTGCAGTTTACTTAGTATTTTTTAAAATGTTAAAAGTAATAGTAACTTTAAAGTAAAGTAATTAGTAATCTAATTACTAAAATGATCAAGTAATTAGTTAAGTAATCAGTTTACAATTTTCCAGTAGTTATCAGTAATTACCCATCACTGCACTCTTATAAAGCTAGCATATTGCTACTGTCAGTGTTGGGGAGTAGCGTCGCTACAAGTAGTGACGCTACTAGCTTAACTACATGTTTCAGTAGAGTTGCGATAGTATCGCTACTTTATCAATCAAATAGCTTTTTAGTAGTGAAGCGATTTTATTAGTCAGGTAGCACAGTAGCGTCCACACAAGCTACATTTACTGATCGCAAATCAATGTGACGGCACCGACATTCATGGAGCTGTGTGGCCTGTGTGTAGCCGATGAAAGTAAATCCATATGAAGGCGAGAATGACGATTTGTTCTTCTTCCTGTTTTTGGTGCGTTACTGCCACCTCTGGTTGGTGATGTTGCCAACCGAAACTTACTTGATGACTGACGGGAGAGGAATCCTTTCTTAAGCAGGATTCCTCGTGACCATACCTTGAGAAGTTCATGTTAAGATGCATCAATTTAATTTCTGATGCTGTGCTCAAAAAATACTTTATATATTTTATTAATCACTAAAATATGATTGACTTGGATTTAAGTTGCTTCGATTTAAAAATGAACATTTTAAAAATAGCTTAGATGTAGCTAAGCTACTTTTGCCATGTAGCTTTTAGCTTAGCTTGCTACATTTCCCAGGGGGTAGCTTTTAGTGTAGTTAAGCTACATTTTAAGTAGAGTAATAGCTTAGCTCACAACATTTTTCAAGTAGCTCGCCCAACACGGGCTACTGCACATTAGCACAAACATGATCTCAAATCCAACAGACATGCTAAAAGCCACAAACCTCCCGTTTTGGTTTTGTGAAAATGCATACCCATCTCTCCTGCTTATATTTGGAGACACAAACAGCAAAACAAACGCCCCAAAAGTTCTTCCATCCTCCAGTGGCTCATAAGTTAAGCTTCATTGTCTTGTCGAACAAAAACATACAATCTTTTAATAACTCTCACTCCCAAGAACAAATACCCGCCCCCCCTCCACACACACACACACACACATAGAGAGAGAGAGGTAGGTCAAGGCCTAGAGCAATGTCTGTGCGCTTCAGAGTGACTTCTTTCTGCCTCAGCCCTTTTCCTGTGGCCAAACAAACAGGGCAGGACCGGGCAGTGGATCGGATGTGTGGGGAGGGGGAACGATTCATGTTATGTAAGCGTGAATGTCACCACACACACACAGAGACTTTACTGCCTAGTAGTGACGTGTCCTCCCCCTTTACCCAGTACACCAAAACATGTAGACATGTAAACATGGTCTGTTTGGGAGTGTGAGGCTTGTCCGTCACGCACAAAGCTGTACCGCAATTGATGTTGTTGTGTGCTGTTATTTTGTACGAGATCATCCGAGAGGAATGTGCATGCTAGTGTGTTTGGTTCCTGCCCTTCACCCACAATCCCTCGCATCTACTGTAACTTCTCCTCCAGTCCCAGTGTTATCAGTAGATAGCTTGCTTATCTGTTGCTCTGGGGAAGCATTTCCTTCTCCCCATCCTAACAGATCCCTCTTCACCACTCCCTTCCCCTCATCCCGGGATGCAATGGTTCAGAGCGGGGAAAGGCGACAGGGTTGTGAGCGAATGCATCTGTGTTGGATGCTGGAGGCGATGCTGAATTTGGGTTTCAATCTTGCTCCTTTGTTTCGTTTCAGATCAACACGGCCTGCATCCCAGCGCAGCCCTCAGAGCTGGTAAGATTTGTTTTATTATTTTTTATTATTATAATTAGTATCATCATTCATTATCTTTGTTATTTTTTTCTTCCATTCATTTACTCATTGGGTTACTCACTTTTACATTTTTACTGTTAGTCATTCGCTTATTGCTATAGCCAAAAATAAACTGATTTTCTGGGATGCAAAGCAAATAAAAAATTTATATTTTGAGTTTTTTTTTACATTTTGGTTTGAATTATTATTTTCTGGATAAATTTGCCAACTATGCAGTTGAAACAAGATGCAGTATAGAGTAATATATGTAATATAATATGCAGGATAGAGTAAAACAGTAGTATTATGGAATATTATTACTATTTAAAATAAATGCATTCTGTTGTGACTGGATTGCTAAATATGGTTCATTCCTGTGTTGTCAACTGAATTTTCAGCATCCGTACTCTAGTCTCTGATATGTTATTACTGTGATGAATGTTCAAAGTCATATATTTTTGCAAGCGGTCATTTGTTTCATGAATAATTTATTAAAAATGTTTAAAAGAAGTGGATTTATTTAAAATAGAATCTTTTTTTTAAAATGATAAATGTTTTTACTGCCACATTGGAGAAATTTATTGTATCCTTTTAGAATAATAAAATCAAATAATTGGTCTTATTATGAAATAGATGAATGAAAGTGTCTTTTGAGACTTTTAGTGCCATCAGTCCATTTGAGAGATCATTTTAGTCATATTTAAATGGCAAAATGTTGTTATGTTGTGTCCTAAACATGCCCAAACTAGGGCCCGCGATCTAAAGTTGGTCCATGGTAACCTTTGATTTGGCCCACCAATCTCTCTGAGAAGAAAGGAAGAATGATGTGGATGTTTTGAGATTGTCAATTTAAGTTTAATGTAGCCATTTGTTTTATTGTTAAACTGAAATTAAAATTTCAATTAAATGTACTGTTACCCAACAATGCAGAGACTTTGGTAAGCAAATCAAGTCAAAGGCAGTTTCTGCTTGACTGTATTCAGCATTCAACTCCAGTGTGTTATAAATGTGGCTGATTTTTTTTAGTTATCATTTAAAAAATTCTACTTCATTAGTTAATATGATTTAAAGTAACGTTTTTTATTTATTTTGAAAATTAGGAAATAAATTAGGAAATTATCAATGGGACATCAATGTAATATAGTTTGGTATGTTTATCTTTGGCCCACAGCTTGCGATGATATTTGGTTTTTGGCCTTTTATACAAAAAAGTTTTGGCACCCGTTTCATAAAAAGTTTTATTCTGTACATTTCATGAGATACTTCTTTACATTTGATAGTTTCATCAAATTCAGGCATATATAAATTGTTATATAATTATAAAGTATTTTAAATAATAAGGGGTGTCTTGATTGTTTGTATATAACAGAGGGTGATATGTGTTGCAGGATGTTTCTGAGGGTAAAATAGGGCACGTTTTTGTGTTGTTACTCTATTTATGACCTTATATCTGTCCTCTCATCTGTTGCAGCGAAGGGGAACATCCTCCTCTAGACACATTCAGCATCTGGTAAGATCTTTTTTTTTCTCTCCTTTATTATCTCTCCCATTAAATGACACATGACACTTCCTGTAGTTTAGAAATTCCCACACTATTTTGTAAAACCCTTTTCCTCAAAAACACATCTATATACATAACTAATTCATTTTTATATATGAAGAGTTTAAATATTAAAGTCTACACATAAAAATAGACTTTTGCTGCTGGTTCAAACTACTTATTTAAAATCAGCTGAAACATATTCTTAAGTTTTTTTTTTGACAACTTAATTGTAAATGTTCAAACTAGGGCTGTCAAATGATTAAAAAAATTAACTACTTAATCACACTTTTTTTGTAATTAATTATGATTAATCACGAAAAGCTGTATTTATTACAAAAATAAAAACACTGGCATGTAAGTGCCATTTTAATTTCAAAACAATCAATGCCAATAACAAACAAAAATTATTTCCATGTTGGATTCTAGGTGGACTACAAAAAAATCCAAAATACAGGCATTGCAAATATGGAAAATTATAATAATAATAATAAAGTATTGAATACAAACAATTGTACTTATTGTAAAGTTGTATTGCGAGTTGAGAACAATAATTATAAAGTACACACATGCACACATACACAGACAGACACACACAACGTGCGCAATACAGCGCACCCGGTGACAACTCCTCAACCTCCTCAGCATTTCAACACGCACGATCGGGTTCATAAGCGTTCTAAAGTATGGCTGTATTTTACAAGCAAGGATTCTGATACAGCAATGTGAAGCAGACACTTTACAAAAGTTGCGTGTAGGGTGGAAACACGTCAAACTTAATGAAACATTTGAGGGCGCATAGAATCAGCTTAAAGGCAGAGAAATGGGCTGTCTTTGACAGCTTGCGACATCATCTGGCACTTTCACTGAGTACATTTACATGGGTAACGAATACTCTGATTTTATGATTAACATAATACTGTGATTAAGAGTCGAACATGTAAACAGTGATTTTTGATTACGTTAAAGAACCACCTGAGTCCTGAAATGCGGAGGTTTTTCTTCCCGTTTGCCATGTGGTATCAAATACCATTAAAATAACACTTTTCCAGCAGTCATAACGCCTGTTTCACACCCCAAGCGTCAGCGGCGCGTGAGCAGAGCGTGAGCAGCGCGTGTGTTTTCGGCGTCCATGTTAACAGATGAGAGCTTTCATACCGCACGCAGCAGCAGCGCGTCAGAGCGAGGCGTGAGCGTCGCCGAAGCAGCAGTGCAGCGATAGTTTCGCCGCTGGGTCTATTTTTGACGCGCTGCTCACGCTCAATTAAAGTGACAGTGCTTTGATAATGACCAAAACACATTGAATGACAGTAGAAACTAGCAATTTTACCCAATAAATGCGTTAATAATGTCAAATGGTTTATATATAGTCAATCAAATGAACTTAAAACGATTAAAAACGGCAACAAACATTTATTTAAGCCCGAACTACAAAACCAAATGTAAAACTATTTTACTATCAGTTTTGCTTAAGTTGCACACTAGTGTTGTAGGAGAGGGGAAATGGAATATTTACGGGATTTGTAGTCCATAGCGAAGTGTATTGTGGGTAGTGCAGTTCGACACGCATGCTGGATTATGTGAGCTCGCTGTGTTCTGTGCAGCTGAGCAGAGAAAGAACGTTTTAATCGGCTTTGTTTTATGTTCACTCGAATTATTCCTACCGGGAGCTGTTTGCTCTGTGAATCTGACAACACGAAAATAAGTAAAAGAATGGCATGCATTAGTTACTTTTGTCCGTCTCACCATCTGCACGAGCATGAATTAACAAGCTGTTATTCTGCCGCTGGACATCACTGAAGCGGAGAAAGTAATACTTGTTTGATCATGTATAAATATCATTATAACTATATTGTATAAATATGATTATAACTAGGTCTACAGCAACTTGATAATCAAAAAACATGACATGATATCACAGGCGATTGTCCTCTGACTGTAGACACTTCTCATATAAGTTAGCTTGAGAAGCATACAGTACTATTTGATCTATAAAATTAGTAAAATAAACATTTGCAGGTTAAAGAAACAGCATAGGAGGGGCCTTGGTGCAGATGAAAAGTTTAAAAAGTGTATTTGTATATAGAGAGACATGGATAACTAGATAGAATAGACAGATAGGTTGATCTCTGCAGCAGCTGCCGAAGAGCTGCGCGCTGCAGACGCAGCTGGTGTGAAAGGCAAACGCCTGCGTGCTGCTACTGCTCGACATATACGCTGCTCACGCTCTGCTCACGCGCTGCTCACGCGCCGCTGACGCTTGCGGTGTGAAACAGGCGTTAGTTCTTATTTTTTTATCCAATAGTTGTCACGGGGCATGAACAATATGTTGCAGAATAAAGGTTAACTGCTGAACAGCAGTTAAAGTCTAAAGATTAAAAATGAAACACCAGAAATTGCATGAAACTCTGGAGGAAACGCTGGATAACCTGATGATGCGATATTAATTGTTTTATACTGAAACTTTCCTTCTAAGAGCACGTCCTTGGTCTTATGCATATTTCTTTGCACGTTAAACACAAGTCGGCCACAACAGGAAATAAGAAAAACTGTGTTCATTTTTTTTATGCGTTAAATATTTCAAATATTTGTGTGCATTAACGCACTAATTTTGAAAGCCCTAGTTCAAACCACTTAAATGTATAAAAAACGATTAAGTTAACTTGATCAGTTTGTGTTTGGTCAACATGACGGAACGACGTCGAAGCCAGCATTTTTTACAGTATACTGTACATATCATCTGAACTGTTCTTAAATGAGCATTTGCATTTTACTCAGCCTCCTATGCTCATATTCAGTCATTTCACCATAAACGCAACAAAAAGAACCTACTCCTGGCTATAAAAATGAAATAACTGAATGAACATACACTTAAAAAAAAAAGATTTTTAGAAACCACTTAGAAGCATTTGCATCTGAACTCTTCATATTTAGTTTTAATTAATGATGAACACAGCACAGTTCTTAATTTAGAAAACTGCTTGAGATTATATTTTATGATATTTGATTTTTATTTCACTTGAGTCTTCTGCTATGACATCAGATGTCATTGAGACACTATTTTATTGTCCCAGAGATGGATGTAAACCTTCAGTGACCCTTTTTCTGTTTCTGGCTCAAATGCACAGTTAAATCAGAACTGTTATACTCTATTGTCTCCTCAATGACTTCTGTTCTTCATTTTGCTGTTGGGCCTCAGACAGTGCTTCAGTTCTTACAGTGGCCTTTATCTGTTTACACATCACACACATGCATCTCCTTAACAGCAGAACCGAAATTAAGAACAAAAATCAATAAACAAAACACACACAGAGTCATCTAGACAAAAGTTTACTGTGTCCAAACACAATGTTATAATCTTACTTTGTCGTTTTTCCAGGGCTCAACCAAGTCTCTGACCTACACCAAACAGAGGAACACTCTCCCGAGGTACGTTTGGCAGGGAAGGACGAAAGCTTTTAAAGCATCAAATCTCAAAGCATGAAGATCAGCGAACGCTGCAGGAGCGGTTCAGCATGCTCGAGCTCTGAGACTTTATTTCCTCTGCTAATCTCTACTTACCTCAGATGAGTTAGCTCATCTCAGCAGGGCTTTATTCCCTTCGGATTTGATGTGAAAAGTCAAAAATCCCTTTTGGCCTCAGTGTGGTGAAAAGCAGAGAGATAATATGTGTCAGGGAGCATGGTTAGTTTAGCTCAGCTGTGTCCAGTCAAACACTAGTCTCAGAATAAACTCCAGACATCCAATATAATAACATTTACTGGATCATACAGACCAATTTCTGTGTTTCAAAATATATTGTAAATATCTTAAAGATTAATGAAATCATGGTTGAAATTGTTGTAGGTTTTAATTTTGAAGCACCAGAATTCTATAACTACTAGAATGGCCATAGTGGTCATTCTGACCGATTAAATAAGATTATGAGATTGTATAGGGTGACGCGGTGGTTCAGTAGGTAGTGCTGTCGCCTCACAGCCAAAAGGTCACTGGTTCGAGCCTCGACTGGTTCAGTTGGTGTTTTTGTGTGGAGTTTCAATGTTCTCCCTGCGTTCGCGAGGGTTTCCTCTGGGTCCTCTGGTTTCCCACAAGTTCAAAGACATGCGGTATAGGTGAATTGGGTAGTGTATGAATGTAAATGATGATGATTTGTGTATGGATGTTTACTAGAGATGGGTTGCAGCTGGAAGGGCATCCGCTGCGTAAAATGTGCTGGATACTGTAAGTTGGCGGGTCATTCTGCTGTGGCGACCCCTAATATATAATGGACTAAGCCAAAGAAAAAATTAATGAAGTAATGAATAAAACTGTAAAATTTGTCATGTTATATTTACTTTCAAAGCTTCTATTAAGGTCTTAGAATTAAGCTTCATATTTTATAAAGTTATTACCCTAAAATTACCATGTTTTTTGTAATATAGGCTATAATTGTGTACAAGTTATTAGACCACCCCAGAATGTACACACCTCATTTGTTCCAGCGTGCGGGAGAGCAGCATTGTTTTTACTGCTGTGAAAATGTTGTTTTTGAATGTGTAAAGACATCACTGAAGTCAAGAGATGTTTTTGCTATCAGAAAGTTATGTTTTTGTTTGCTAGGCAACAGAGGCTCGCATAGTCAAACGCATAAGACAAAGTAGCGGATGTATTCATTCAGTTTATGGACATACAGGGTAAGAATACTAAGAAGAACCCTTGTGTTTGTCAATCAATTAAAATGACAATATTAAAATAAAATGTACACACAATTAGAATAAGTTAGGCTACTATAATTATATGGGCTCTACACTGTAAACCCTAATGTCGTCTTTACTTAAACAATTAAGTAAAGTTGAGTAAACATAACTTAAAATTGAGCATTTTGGTCCTTTCGCTTAAAAATATGGGTTAATTTAACTTATGCACCATGAAAATGCATAAACTTAAGATTTCTATTGTAGTGAGCTCAAAATAATATAATAATTAATCCTTTGAAAAAATAGGTCATTTTCACAAATGTAGCCTTGACTGTAAATTTCTAATATGTGCAACCTTTTAAGTGCAAGGTCTTCTTTTAAATCAGAAAACAAATGGCTTCAGGTATAATTATTCATCATAATGTTAATAAATGGCTAATTATAATTATATTACTTAGCACTAAGTTTGGTGAACTGAACAATTTAAATATAGTCTACAAAACCGGCAAGTTAAATAAACTTAAATATGCAAGTTTTGGGAGACTCCATTAAATTAAGGCTACGAGTTTACTCAATTAATTTAGTTCAGTCAAAGTATTAGGATTTTTAGTAAATTTTAATAAAGCTATTGAATTACAAAGTTTAAAAATGGTTAAAAAGATGCCTCAATAGTTCTAGTGTTAAGTCATTTGACTTCTCTCTCTCTCTCAGGAGCTTCAGTGTGGATCGGGTGATGGACAGAGTGATGGAGAGACACTATGATTTCGACCTCACATACATCACAGAGAGGATCATCTCAGTCTTCTTTCCTCCTCTGCTGGAGGAACAGCGCTACCGCCTCAACCTCAGAGAGGTGGCAGCCATGCTCAAGTCCAAACACCAAGACAAGTTTCTGGTACGTCACCCAGAGCGTATTAGACACACCTGAACCAAATCCCAATCGGCACAGTTCACTTCATGCAGAGTTGACATTGCATGATTTTCAAAGCTGTCGAATCGCAGTTGTTTTCATCTTGTACAGTCGGTCGGTGACAGTACATTACACACTCTTGACTAGGGCTGCACGAATCTGGCTAAAATGTGAATCACAATTTTTTTTACTTAACCCCTTCCACAGCACTCCAATGAGGTCGCACTTACAGTAGGTGCTGTTTTTTCCACATGTCAATGTTTATGAATAGATAACAAGATTCAAAAAGCACAAGAGTAGTCTTGAAAAACTCTACATCAGTTTAAAGCTACATCCCCTAAGCACCCATTGCAGCTAATTGTTTTTCAGTGGAAACTTATAAAGAATGTATTTGCTAAATTTGTGTAAGTTTTGCAGAAATTCTTATTAGATATGGCGTACATATCATGTAATAGCAACACACATTCATTGCACATACATTGTACATTACAGTTTATTTTGAAAGGTAAGAGTCCACAGAAAAACATCCCATCGAACACATTTAGTCCACCAACACAATAGTGTTGAATTATGGATGGTTATTCATTTGTTTATGTCACCATTTTTGCCGGAGACCTTTTGTTTACACCGTTTTACCATGGTACTCACACGTGAAAACGCCGTTTATAGCTTACAGTGTTACAGATAAAACGAGACCAGAAAAATTGAATAAAAAGTCAAAGTTATAGTTACTAAAATCTAAACAAAGCCGAGTGATTTGGGCGTCTGCATTTCTCAGTCACTGCTCAGTCAGAAGCTACTTCCTTCTTCCCAGAAGTTTGACTGACAGAGAAACGAGCCAATGGCTGCATTTTTCAAGATCACGATTTTCCCACGATTCTATAGATGTAAAATAAAGGCTAATATTAGTAAGCTATTACTATTGTTAAATCTCAAACATATGGTGAAACAACAATAATATTGTTTGGCCTATGTGTACAGTAGGTATACTTTTGCTGAAAATGCTACATTTTTGTCATTATGGTGGACTTAAATAGGCTTTAAACATGTTCTGGTTTTTACTTCACAGTAAAATGATGATATCAGAATACAACTATTCATAATTATAAAGCTGAATTATTATGTTTGAGACATGTGCTTGTCATTTGTCATTAACAACATTATTAGACCATTTGTTTTCACGGGTAAAATGAGACATTTGTCATTATCAGATTCCTTGCATTATATTCAACATTATATAGGCTAGGGTAGATATACGGTCACAGTAAACATTTATTTTCATGCACAACACTGTGTGTTAGCTATGAAAGAAAAAAACCTATCAAATGCTTGTTGTAATCATAACTCTAAAATGCGTTATGATCATTTATATGATGAATGCGCCGGCTTCACTTTCATATCTGAGTGCGGCTCATGGCTGCCATTACTCTGAGAAAAAAAAAACCCTAACACACATGCAAATCATACTACAGCACGGCTCTCAAACGATTGCAACAAACTGAACATTATTTACAACTTTATTACCTGTTAATCAAAGCCTATGCAGGTTCTATTCACTAAAGAAGGCGTCATTGGTGTGTTCTGGGTAGTAAACAAACAGCTTGCGGATGCGGTCAGCTCAAGTGTGATTTTGCGGCCGCGAATTCATTACATTTAGACAGAAATGCCATTTCTTGGTGAATTATACTTTATAAATAAAGTATGTGACACTTTTAACGCCAGTTGAGACCACCGGCTTTAAGCTTCTCTTCTGACCTTGAAAATATAATTGGCTGAATCGTACAAAAGCTGACTTAAGATCATATGTAGGGTCGAACCATGATCGTGATCTTTTTTCGATTAATCATGCAGCCCTACTCATGACTTTACTGTAGGAGGAATCGCTGACAACTCTACCTGGCTTGCAAAATACATTTCACAACCAAACACACATAAGAATGGATAAAAATGCTCGTGCAGACTGGAAATAGTACCAAAGACTATAGAATATACAAGACATGTCACTCGTATACTTTTGAATGGGGAAAAGTGTAACAGTCAATATGGCGAATGAAGCCCCGCCTTCTAATACAAGAGCCAATCAGAGATCGCTATAGAATGACAATTCTCTAGGGGAGGGGTTCAGACCAAACGTGAGTTTCTGCAGATTTTGTGTGGTACGAACATTTAGAAATGTAATGAAATAGAAATAGTTGTTGTTTAATTTTATTGGTTATTCGTAATATGGAATTTAATTGAAAGCTTGGCAAGCAGGTTTGGAGAATTTGATGTTTTCCCATTCCAACAGAATTCCCGGGCATACTGCCGGAGAGGTGGTTCAAAGATGGCCGCCAAGTGAAATGACTTGCCTTAAAGGGACTTTGATAGTACCCGGTTGCGTAAGGCTAAAGTTACAGTTTTTTCAAACTTTGTTTGATTTCCTGGGTCCAAATAAAACAGATAATGAGCCTCTTACAACCAAATTTGTGTTCCTGTCAATAACTCCTCCCCAAACTCCCTGCTGTCCTGAATCTTACTTTCTCATTGGCTGTTGGTCAATGTGATGTGTTTTTCATTCAGAACATTTTTTACACAGCAGAATTTTAAATCACTGACCGGTCCAGATATTTAGCATGCCAGCTATTTCACAGTCATTCTCACAGTCTTGAATAATTCACACTGCGTGACTATCTCGTGCATAAAGATTAACTGATTTCCCATTGGTTTCAGGCATTTGAAATTTCACAAAACTTGTTGATGGGTGAAAACCAGAGCTAAAATTGTGCATTGTAAACTCTGCATTAAAAATTCTGGTTGGAGCTAAAATCAGCAAGAGATTAGCACTCTATAAGCAGTATTGGTCACCCTTGATACACATTAATCTAAATCAGTGTTTCTCAACCACATTCCTGGAGGACCACTAACACTGCATGTTTTGGATGTCTCCTTTGTCTGTCAAACCCATTGCAGGTTTTCCAGTCTCACGCTAATGAGCTGATGATCTGAATCAGGTGCATTTGGCTGGAGACACATGGACAATGTGCAGAGCTGGTGGTCCCCCAGGAATGTGGTTGAGAAACGCTGATCTAGATCAAGGGTGATCAATTTCTGTCCTGGACGGTCATTATCATGCAGAGTTTTGCTCAAATTTTGTGCAAAAACACCGGCTAGTAGCTTTCTAGAGATCTTAAAGACATAGATATGCTTGTTCAGGTGTGTTTTCTTAAAGTTGGAGCAAAACTCTGCAGGACAAAGGCCCTCCAGGACTGACGTTGACTATTCCTGATCTGGCTCATTCTGCCATTTTCATTTTCAATAGGTCTTAGATCCAACTAACTAATTTGTAGGGAAATTGCTAAAATCACACACACACAAACACACACACACACACACACACACACACACACACACACACACACACACACACACAAAGGATATTTCTAAAAATGTTGGTATCCAAACATTGACTTCCATACACTAATTGGAAAAACATCACTGTGAAGGTCAATTATGACCATCAGCTGGAAGTGAACAACTTCTTTAATAAATTGATCATGCCATCTCTCTGGCGCATCGCTTTTTTTTTAGCAGAAATGTTTAACAATTACATTCATCGAGATTGCACTCAAACACTATTTCATGTTTGGTTTGGTCATCATGTATTGCTGTCTTTGTTAAAATAAATATGAAGATTGTACAATGTAACATTTGTCTTTAGCAGCACGAAGTCTGTAGCACATGTTAGGCACTTTAAGCATCTTTAATTTCATCCACATGGACAAGTGTCTTAAAAATACTCTATTTCCGCTGGACAATAACAGATCAGTGTGACTGGAAGGACAAAACATAGATAAAGTAAATGCAATAGAGGCAGTCTCATTATTGTTTTTTCTTTCCGCAGTTATTAAATCTGTCTGAGCGAAGGCATGACATCACCCGCTTAAACCCAAAGGTAGGGGCTCGGTTTTTACTATTCTGTTTGTTTATGTTGCTGGTTGCTTTGCGGTTGAACTTTTAAAGACCTGATTACACCACCCAAGATTAAGAAAGTCTGTCTTTCTCGCTGTCAGGTTCATGACTTCGGCTGGCCAGATATGCACTCTCCTCCGCTGGATAAGATCTGTGCCATGTGCAAAGCCATGGAGAACTGGCTGAACTCTGACCCCCAGCATGTGGTCGTTCTGCACTGTAAGGTCAGAGGTCACAGTCTTTGGACAGTTCATGTCAGGGTCACTTGTTTTTGTCTAGTACTGCCATATGTTTTCAGTGATCTAGTCACAAATGGAAAGTCTTCAGTGTAAGCTTCATAAATGAAAAGAATATTTGAAAGGCAACCGCAGTTTTGCAAATCTGTAAAGTGATTTGGTGACGTATGAATACCTTGTTTTGGTGTTTTTCTCCTTAATGATCATGTGGTAAGTCAGTAGACAGAGAGAAGCTGGCTTTTGTGACTGACATTTGATCACATGAACATTTACTAAAGCAATTCAATCAAATAATTGAGAGCAATCAGAGGTTTGTAAACAAGCAGAGCTTTAAAATGATTACTGATCCAAACCCAATGGAGTATGAGCTGATGCCCTCAGGGATGAGATGACGGTGTACCATCTTGTAGGTTAAATAGGTTAGTCATATTAATTATATTTTCAATTTCATGATTGAATAAAAGGAAATAGGGTTTGGGGGAAAGCATGTCTGATTTCTAAAGCATTTAGTTCATGCAGGATTAGGGAAAATACTGAAAGACCGATACATACCAATTTTTTTATGATATTCATCTGGATTCAAAAGTCTTGAAGATTGCAAAGCCGGTGTTAAATATGTTTTAAGAATTACATGGACAAAAGAAGCACTGTCCATCAAGTGATTACTTCTAAACTTGAAAAAAAATTGTGTATTAAAAGCTCACATGTGATAATTTCACATTGATTATATAGATTCCTATAGGGCAGGGGGGCCCAAACCTTTTCGTATGAAAGGCCAAAAGACATTATTAGCAGTGGGCCGAAGATAATTACATCAAATTATTTTACATTAAAATTGCCATGGCTAATTCCTAATTCATTTCAAAATATTTGTACCCATATTAACTAATGCAGTACAACTTTTTAAATGATAAGTTATTTCAATAAAAACATAAACAATCACATGTATTACACAGTGGAGTTCAATGCTGAACACACTAGTTAACCAGAACTGCCTTTGCAATGATTTGCTCACCAAAGTCTCTGCATTGTCCTTTATGCGTCCTATTTACTAAATTAAATCTGATTAATTTTAATGTAAACTATTTACATTGAAACATTTCATTTCACATAGTTTTTTTGTAGCTTAACAACTACTGGAAATGACAAGTGTATCTCTAAACCATTCTCAGATGGCATGGCGGGCCAAATCAAAGGTAACCATGGGCCAACTTTAGGCATTTCTGCTATAGGGCATACGTCTCAAAGTCAATTCCTGGAGGGCCGCAGCTCTGCACAGCTTTGCTCCAAACCTAATCAAACACAACTGATTCAAATAACCGAGGTGTTCAAAAGAGTCAAGAACACCTTCATTAGATGGACCAGCTGTGTTTGATCAGGGTTGGAGCAAAACTGTGCAGAACTTCAGCCCTCCAGGAATTGACTTTGAGACCTATGCTTTAGGGTTTATGCACAGCTAGTGTTTTTTCCCATACAGATAAACTTCGGTTTCGGTTATCGGTTAAGTTGACTTTTTTCAATTCCTTCACAGCATTGATGTTGTAATGTAATTAAAATATAATCCGTTAAATAGACTTAAACATTCATTTAGTTGTTCAAGTGTAAAACGAGATGGAAAGCCGTTTACATGCAAGCGCCCATCAGCAATAGCAGGTTAGTGCAGAAACTCAATTGAAAATACTGGAGTAAAACAAATGTTCATATTTTAATGACATGCCGGGGGAAAATGTGATTTAATGCAGCGCTTCTTGTACATTCTGAGACCCACTTTATATTGTTTATCTATCAGGCAGTGAAGATGATGAAGTTGATTTTAAAAGGTAAACAGACCTTAAAGGTGCCAATTTTATCAGTGAATTTACTATTTAATTAAAAAACAATGAAATGTGTCTAGAAAATATTCTTCGACTGAAGTTCAAGCTGCTATTTCGGATGATGATCATCAAGCTTGATGCTAATAAAGCAAATTGCCAAAAGACATTCTTAAATTTGTGTTGATCCTTCAACGTACTTATTGCTCAAATTGACAGACCGTACAAGCAGGTTCAAAACTTAACAATCTGAGTGCAAAAAAAACAGATTGATTAGTTTATTTTTAAACATTAGTTACATCAATTATATACATGTATTCATTGTTATTTATTGTTTTTCAGGGCAACAAAGGAAAGACCGGTGTAATCATTGCTGCCTATATGCATTACAGCAAGATATCAGCGGGGTACGTTCATCTTCTCCACATTGGTCGAATTACAGACTGTGTGTATCATAATGAATGCTCTGTGTCATGTAGTTTCAATTAGTGACAAATTTGTCTTGAACAAAACCACTTGTCTCTGATCTGTATTTCCTCTGTCTTCAATGCATTTGTGCACACAGGGCAGATCAGGCGCTCAGCACGTTGGCCATGAGGAAGTTTTGTGAAGATAAAGTAGCGTCCTCTCTCCAGCCCTCTCAGAACAGGTACAAGTTTTTGTTTGTTCATCACCAACCTTTGTGCTTTTGAAATACTTTATTTTGCATCAATATCTCTCTGCAGGTATATCCAGTACTTTGGAGGGCTTCTCTCAGGGTCTATCAAAATGAACAGCAGTCCTCTCTTCCTCCACCAGGTCCTCATTCCTACCATCCCCAACTTCCAGGAAGATGATGGTGAGTGAATGTTTTCATGACATCACTGCCTGACATCATTCATACAGTGAATAAGCCCTTGAGCTCATACATGTCTTTTTGAGAGTATTGTCATTCCTTAAGTGAAACCTCCTTCACATTCACACACATTTCATGTTTGTTTTTAATATTTTGTGGTGGAGGAGTGACACTCAGAGGGTTTTAGCCAATTCCTCCTTCATGTCTCGCCTTTTTCTTCACTCTCTTGACAGGTTTCTTCCCTTTCCTGAAGATCTATCAGTCCATGCAGCTTGTCTATACTTCTGGCATATAGTGAGTGAACGTTTTCTCATTATTAAAAGCATAGAGGTATTTGCTTGGGCAAGCATAATTTTTTTTTTTGATGCTTAATACTAATAGTCCTAATTATCACAGACATTTTGGTATGTGAAGGTTTTTATTTGACTTAGTCAATACTTAAGTTATTATCCATTAATAGCGCTCCCTATTGTTTTGCACTAAACATTTACATACTTATAAACATTCCATATTTCTGGAAAAACATTGTTCAAATCTGATTGCATCACACAGGTGAGTGGATTTGTCAAACCACCTGTAGGAGGCACACTTTCCTATACACTTTGCTATAAAACAAAAACTAATGAAAAAACTTAAACTAGCTAATACTGTTCATGACATCAATATATTGCTATTCTCTGATGATTTGAGTTGCTGCTTTATTTCTCATTTGTAAGTTGCTTTGGATAAAAGCATCTGCTAAATGAATAAATGTAATTGTTATTACAAATGAAGGCTGGTTTATAATTCTGCTTCAAGAGATTGATGTGACCCATGGTGCATGCCTTGCGCTAAATCATGCATTTATACATGTGCGTGCTGTTTGTGTTGCTCTGGCAGCAGAGTTTTTTGTTCCTTTGTGTCGAGTTTTTTGCCGGTGGTTTGTTTTTTCTAAACGCTATCTTAATGTACAAGTAGTTAAAACTCGCTCATTCAAAGGCGGAACCGGCGGACATGCAACAACTTTATTCATAAAGATAAACACAGTATTTACAACGCTCCAAGAAACTTTGCACAAATTCATTGCGTGTGTGTTTGCTAGACAGTCTCTTACTGACACTTACAGCAGAAGCCCCTGTTTCACTGCAATTGAGAGAATGAAAATAAACTCCATTTCTCTCTTTCACTGTGACGCATTTGACCTGCTGGTGTGACTTTTCCTCTCCTCTCGGCTGTTACAGCGATGGATAGAGGTCTGCATTCCCGTGGCTGTTCCAGATTTCTTGTGTTGCGAAAATAAATTTCCGAATAAAGCGCGGGAGCGGTCGGTAACTCGGTGTAATTTGAATAGGAGCAGGTGGTTTAACAATATCGCTCCTGAGCGAGCAAGCACATTTGTGTGTGTTTATGTGTGTGAATGAGAGAGAGTGTGATTCTGTGTGTCGCTTGCTTGGTGCTGTGTGTCTATGTGTGTGTGTTTATACTGACAGCTTGTTATAGCCCCAACAAATATAAAACTGTGTATAGAAAGCATCGCCAACGCACCTTGATGCACAGAGATATCAAATAGAACCGAATCGATGACATGATAATTGTAACCAAACCGAACCGTGAGACCAGTGTAGGTTCACACCTCTGTTGTAAACACTCACTTGTTGTATTCACTTGTCTCAGAAGTATTTGAATCAGTTTCATGAAGTGCCTTTATGCACAAACACTGCCCCCAGAGTCACTACCTGATACCTTTATTCACAACCACCCATAATCTCGTACCAACATCCCGGAAAACCCTATAAATATCCAGAATGTTCTAACAACAAAAAGTTATTTTTTGTTTGAGGCCAAAAAGAAGTTTACAAAGATTGAGTGATACAGGGGGCAGAGTTGTAAATGTGTAACTGCTCGCATATACCCCTAGTTACAATGTTGAGAGAGAATAGCTTCTTAAACATCTGCAAAACAGCCTTTGCGAGAAGTGTTACCGCGACCAGAGTGCGCAAACTCATCGAAAAAATATGGTGAGTGAGGTGGGCTTCTCATCTGGTGTGTGACCCCTCAGAGTCTTTAAAATTTCTCTGTGAGAGATCGTACAGGTGCGGATACATCTGTACCAGCTCTGCTACTCAACTGTCCAGTGTATTCATGTGGATAGAGTTGTTGTTGTCTTGTCTGGCCCCTCTGGAATTCATGATAAATGAATTGGAGGGAAGAAATTGCATGTCACCGATTGCATAATCGTCAAGGACCAAAGGTAGTTCAAATGTGTTTAGGAGTTACCATAAACTACCCCATAAGTTCTGTTTGATGAGCTGTTTTGAATTGCTGAAACCAACTCAAAAGAACACATTGTTATATGTTTGAAGAATTCAGTAGTAACATAGCAAGTGTAATTCATGGAGACCAGGTAAAACCATCTACAATATGCCTAGCAACAACCTTTTGTACTAAAGGTCGATGTATATTTTCATTTTGTCTTCAAGAAATGACAAAAATTAATTTATTTCTTTGTTTTCTGTGTTTTTATAGTGATCTGCAGGGCTCTGCGAGCAGGCGGCTGATCATTACTATTGAGCCTGCATTGCTCCTGAAAGGAGACATCATGGTATGCAGGCCTGTTTTTTCTGACCCTGACATATTACAACTGTCAAAAACATAGACATTTCCATCACTCTAATCTCGCTGTCTTTCATTTTTATGGTCTCTCTTTCCGTCTGTCCTGTAGGTGAAGTGTTATCACAGGCGAGTGGAGTCTGCTGAGAGAGACTCAGTGTTTCGACTGCAGTTTCATACATGCACCGTTCATGCAGCTCAGCTCTGGTTCGGCAAAGGGGAACTGGATGAAGCTTGTTCAGGTACATTCCTGGTGGAACAAGCCAGAAGTCAGATGCCAAGCTCGTATATTTTCGCAATAAAACCAGAGCTGCCTGTCCAGTTCTGACTGCCTTGAGCAGAAATGGCCTCGGGATATCAGCTGAGCTTGGTTTTTTATGATGTCTATTTTTTTTTTTATTTCGGTGGTCTGTGTTCTTTTAGCTGAGCTGTAAATTATTGCCCTCATTCCCACTGGGTAGCACCTGCGCAACGCAGCTGCATAATTGAGATGCGATACAGATTTTCATGTGATAATGGATTCTCTATGGGCTTACATATGAGAATAGGAGGCAGCTTCAACTGCTTGTAAAACTCTGGGAAATTTCTACATATGAATCTCCATTATAATCAGAAATGTTTTTACATAGTGTTTCATTTGGAAAGGTTATTAAATATATTATTAAGAATTGACAAAGCCCATTATTAATGAAAAATATTATTGCAATGATGAACACTCTCAGTTCCTATTGTTTCTTGTAGATGACAAATTTCCCCCTGATGCCATAGTGGAGTTTGTGTTTTCATCTGGGCCTGAGAAAATTAAAGGTAATGTAAAACTTTGCTCAAACTGCAGATGATCTTACTAACCTTTTAATTTCTCTTTCAGGGACCATGACATTGTTTGACAAATAGTTTTCTTCCTTGAGCTAATGTGCAGAATTTCCATTAAAATGACAGGGCCACATTATGTGTGTGTGTTTTATTCAGGGAGAGTGAGCCAAAGGAATGATCCAGCTGTCAGTGTGGACTATAACACAAATGATCCAGTGGTGCGCTGGGACTCATATGAGAACTTCAATCAGAGGCATCAGGACAGCCTAGAGGGTACTACTATTCATTCATACAACCACACACTGGTATTTATGCAAGCATTCAGAGGGAACGTACTGTTTTATAATACATTTGGCTTTTTAAAATAAATATATGCATTTGTTCAGCATGAAATTGTCTATAAAAGTTTTACTTTTGCAAAAGACTAATAATCTCATGTAAACCAGTTAGCTCAACACAATTACTAAGCAGTAGAACTGTTGAAATACTCCAGAATCAGAATACAAGAACGGTTTCTGAGAAATCATGGGAAAATGAGTAATAGCTGCTACAAATTCAGCCAGCATTTTATTAAATTACATTTTTAAAAAGCAATAAGGTAGAAAGCATGGTAACACTTTAGTTTAGTTCAGAACTTATGCTATTAACCACTGGCTTATTACCCGTCTGTTATTTCAATATTAAAAGTTCATTAGTAGTTATAAAGTATGATCTTATTCTGCTTCGCTAATCCTACCCAAAACCTAAACCTAACTTCTAGCTTGCTAACTAATAATAAACAGTTAATTAGTAGTGATGGGTCGTTCTTGATCGATTCGTTCATTTTAAGCAAATCTTTTGTCTGACTCAGGGAGGAGTCCTCTCAGGGAGTGATTTGTTTCATTTGCGCGTGTGCACATTTGTGCTGGTGGAGTAGAAAAATAGTTGCTTTTTCGAGTCTTCTTTCAAGTATCGTTTATCACATGAAAGACAGAAGCCAATTATATGCCTTTAGAGCCGGAAAAAGATTTGATCCGTTCATCTCTTGAGTATTTGATTTGCGTCCTTCGTTCATCACATGAAAGACAAAAGTCAATTGTATGCATTTAGAGTTGGAAAAAGATTTGATCCGTTCATCTCTCTGGTCCTCGATTTGAGTCCTTCATTCATCACGTGAAGGTTAGAAGCCAATCATATGCATTTAGTACTGGAAAAAGATTTGATCCGTTCATCTTTCGAGTCCTCGATTTGAGTCCTTCGTTCATCACATGAAAGACAGAAGCCAATCATATGCATTAAGAGCCGGAAGAAGATTTGATCCATTCATCTCTCGAGCCCTTGGGTTTGAGTCATCTCTTTTTACATGCTGTCATGTGACGTGATGAACGAATAATTTAAAAACCAGAAGACTCAAAAGGTGAACTAATCATGGCTTTATTCGGCTTGGACTGTGTTCTCTGGTTAAGCGTATATGGGACTGTCAGCACGACATGAACGAATCACTCTAGTTTGAAGACCTGTCAGAAAAGGTGAGCTGACATGTTTGTAGTGTGATCAACGTTCGAGCTTGTAGATGAGTTTGGAAGCAACTCGTAACATTTAATAATATTTTGGCAAATTGTACAAAATGACTCGAAAAAAAGATTCATTCATCTCAATGAACAAGACTCAAAGGTCAGAGTCAGTAAAATTATTGGAACTTCCCATTACTACTAATTAGTAGTTTATTAAACTAGTAGGGCTAGTTAATGGTTTATTATTACTGTGAATTGTAACCTAAAATAAAGTGTTACAGAAAACATTTAGTTTAATTTGTTTAATAGGTTGAAATAATATTTTACACTGATGTTTTTTACTATATTTTTAATTCAATAAATGTAGACTTTAAATTTCATAATGACTTAAAATTGTGGAATCAAAGTATATAAAGTATAGATTATTAAAATTATTTTATGCATCAAATATTGATCTTGCAATTACTTCTCTCCAGATATTGCTCATACACGTGGCCCTGTAGATGGCAGCTTGTATGCACAGGTTAAAAAGCGCCGCGCTGCTGCTGGCTGCTCCTCTCTGCCATCGACCAATGGAAGCCCTGCAAGAAGCTCTGAGGAAAGACCAAGTCAGCTTTTGTCTGTTAGCACTGATTCCGGACACTCATCTGTTCCTCCTGATCGACTCGATGAACCGACTCGACCGGCCCCGCCTACTCAGCAAGAGAGGGAGGAGCTTGAGCGGCTATTGGGTGGGATTGAAGGCGATGGACTGAGAGACCGTGACCGAGAGACGGCTATTTTGGATGATGGTGATTCCTTGCCTCCTGAAAGAACTGGGTCTCTGAGGTTAGGCCGTTCATGTTCTTGTCGTGTGGGTTACCGATCTCAGGGTTGTGCTGAGCCTGGATGTAATGGATTTCATCATTTACCCAATGGCCATTGCCTTGATCGGCCCACCACCACTAATGGACACACAGGGGCTCTGTCTCCAGGTATGTCATCTGTCATAGGACTTTGCCAACATCACAGCACCCATCCTCACCAATCCCTTCCTCCTCCAGACCTGCTCTGGGACCGCCAGCAAGGTCCACAGCACTACCTGCATCGCACTTGTTCAGAGGGACCATCTCGCCACCTGTATCCATATCCATCCCAAGAGATCAATTCTCATCCACACAGTCTGTCCCCCCGACTGCTTTGTAGACCAGATGAGTACATTTCATATCCTCACCATCATCACAATCATTCACACCATCCCAAACCCAGCGGACCCTACCATGATGTCATGATGATAGATGGCCTAGTGACACCCGGCTGCCCCTGTCGAGACTGTGCTCTACGACGAGAAGAGTTCCACACTTTACGTTTGGACAGAGAGGATGGAATACACTGGGAGAGAGAGGCAGAGCTTCACCGGGATAATGGGTTAAGACGGACAAGAGAGGCTGACATGCAGAGAGGGGCAGAGATATGGGAGCGGGAGCCAGGACTAAGGAGAGGAAGAGAGATGTCTCTTCACTGGGACAGAGACAGAGATGCAGAACTACAGTGGGAGAGAGAACGTGAGGCTGAATACTGGCACAGAAGGGCTACTGTATCCCCATACGGGCCCCACGGTCATGAATTACCTGCGTTTAATTTTGATCCACTCCCAGCAGGCCATCCTGCATACCCAGAACCCTCCCGCTCTCACTCTCATGCCCATCTGGATCTTAAATACAGCAGCAGCTCCAGTGGCTACCAGACACCACACCAGACGTGCCCTTGCTCCCCCTACCAGCCTTCACCCTCAGAGAGTCGAGGATATGCCTCGGGTTACCAGTCTGAGTCTACGTCTCCTCTTCCGCCTCCATCTGCCTCCTGCCCCGGCCCGGTGCACCATGCCAGTGGACCTACAGAAAACCAAACTGACCCCCATTCTCAGCATTTCACCTCTGACTCAAATACAGGTGAGGACTGGTAAAGTTGTTTCAGTTTAACTCTAATTAGTTATTGCAGAGTACTGGACTATTAGTGAAGCTTTTGAAAGCATGCTAAAAAGACTGTATATTTTTCGTCTGCATCCATTTTCATCTGTGCATGATCAAATTTATTTACAAGTCTTTACCCTATCATTATCAGATTGCCCTGGTGCAGATAGCATAGGATGGCGTAATCATATTACCCATGGATCCCTCCGGCGGATGCATCCACATGCTCCATATTCAACACCCTCTGATATTTCAGGACCTCCAACACCAGTCCACACAAGCAGCCCTTTACGAACCCAGGAAAGGTAATGTGCAGCTGCATTTATCAGTAGATCAACCACCGGAACCTTGACCTCTGTACCAGTTAATCAAGGTGTACTATTACTTAAAAATAACATGCAAGGTTTTTTTTTTTAGCTCTCCAGCAGCAGGGTCTACCACTATGGTAATTTCTTGTATTCATTTAATACTGTTCTGGCTTTCTCTTTATTTTTCAGTCCAAGCCTGAGTGTCCGTGACTATGACTCAAGAGAGGGGAACAGTGAAAGCAGTTCTGCTCACTCCCTCAACAGGCCGCATCCAGCTACCATACAGCCCAACATGACCAATGCAGGATCACGGCAAACTCTACTCTCTTCCAGTCCAGAGACTCCTGAGATTAACCCGCTTCCTACCACACCCACCACTGCCCAACATCTTGCAGCTCATTCCCTTCCTACAACACCTCCAACCCCACAAATTGCAACAGAACACTCACCCCCCTTAACGCCCGAGTCAGAATCCACCCAACCACAGGCAAATTGCTCGCCTACTGCTGCTACAGTGCTGCCCACAGTGGAAATGGTGCCACAATCAACTGAGACTATAAAACCAGCACATTCCCCACATCCCTCCTCTCCAGTCCTGGCTGAGTCCATTCCAGCTCACATGCAAAGCAATGGAGTACCACCATCTCCTGAATCAGATGCCCCTAAACCTGCTTCTTCAGCACCTGCATCCCCTCAGCCACCTGCTGGTGACCACGAGAGCTCTTCTTCCCCTGAACCTTCAGTGCCTGGATTTGCCACACTGGGCAGGAAGTTGATGTTGGGCTCTGAAACCTCACTTTCTGCAGGACACAGTATGGATGCCAGTTCTAATTCTACTCCCACTTTCCCAGTCTCTCCTGCCTGCTGTACTCCATCTCCTCCACCAGGCTCCTACCCAGGGTGCCCATCATCCTCCGTCCCACAGCCTCCTCTCCCAGAGAAACGCCGCCCATCCGGCCTCCCAGGCTCACCCAATGGGAGGTCTGGAACACTGAGGGCATCCATGAGTCACCAGCCCTCTGGGCAGCACCATGTTACATTCTCGCCCTCAGTAGGGGAGCTGGCCGTACCCATTGGTCAGGTTGAAGTTGGTGTGGAGGGTGAGATTGGCAACCGTGTCAGTGTGAAATTTGTGCAGGACAGCTCACGATTTTGGTATAAACCTGGCATCTCCAGAGAGCAAGGTGAGACAACCAATGTGGTCTATTTATTCTAAACTACTGAAGTGTTTACAGATTTTGATTGGCAGTGGGTAAAATATAAACTTCCAATGACTTTTCATTTGAACAGTCTTGATTCATAGAGTTAAAAATGCAGTAGTCTCATGAACTATGGTTTTAAAGAATGAAAAACAACCATTGCAGTGTGATTCACGAACAGATTCATCTTTAGGTATTTTAGATTCTTTTCCAATGCATTTTGGTATTTTACTTTTGAGGGCTTGGTGCCTGGTACTTTTTTTTTTAGAACTTATAAGGTTTCAAGCGAGCCATACCATTACCAAAACATTAAGTATAGACACTGCTGATCACTTCCATCACTACCAATGTCTTACGATTCGCTAAAACCACTCTTTAAACTATAAATTTAAACTACAGCAATAATTCCATCTGCTTCAAGTGGTACTAAACTGCAGGGAAAAGGCAAAACGAGCCAAGCTAAACCAAACGGAAGCTAGTTGAACCAAGCCATGCCAAACCTTATTGTACTGTACAGCACAGTGTAAAGCTTTAGAGTTTAAGACAGCTTTAGAGTAAATCTGTAAAAAAGACTTTGACATGTTTTCTTACATAAATAGCAGTTCTAAAGCAGAATTTAGTGTTTAAAGTTTAAAACAAATATTTTTGTAAAAGTTAAAAATGTGGCGAGGCAGTGGCGCAGTAGGTAGTGCTGTCGCCTCACAGCAATAAAGCCTGGTTTATACTTCTGCGTCAAGTGACCGGCGTAACTCACGGCGCAGGCAACGCGCGCAGCTGTGCATTTATACTTCTGCGCACTGTCTCTGTTGGTCTGCATTAACACTTCCGAAACACTAGTTGGCAGTGAGGTGTAAATGTTCCTCTGTGTCGAGTTTCTTCGCTTCTGTTTTGCTTTTCCTGAACACTTCCTGGTTGTACAAATGACTCAAACTCACTCATTTTGAGGCAGGAACCGGCGGACAGGCAACAACTTTAACTATGAGGTAAACACAAAACAAAACTTTCCATCCGGAGTTCCTTCACGGGACTCCACACTTGTAAACAATCGCTCGCGCCATTCGCGCGGCTCTCGGTCCCGCCCTGACTTGTCAGTGCTACCAAGCCGACCAATCACAGAGCTTGCGCTACGCGTTGTTGCGACGTGTAGTTAAATTTTTTGAGAGGTGCACGTCAGTGACGCCGACGGCCATGGCGAAGGGCTATGCGTCAGCGTCGTAGCATATGCCGGTGTTTGACGCAGAAGTATAAATCAGCCTTAAGGTTGCTGGGTCGCTGGTTCGAACCTCGGCTTAGCTGGCATTTCTGTGTGGAGTTTGCATGTTCTCCCTGCCTTCGCATGAGTTTCCTCCGGGTGCTCCGGTTTCCCCCACAGTCCAAAGACATGCGGTACAGGTGAATTAGGTAAGCTAAATTGTCCGTAGTGTATGAATGAGTGTGTGAACGTGTGTGTGGATGATTCCCAGAATTGGGTTGCGGCTGGAAGGGCATCTGATGCGTAAAAACTTGCTGGATAAGTTGGTCCGCTGTGGTGACCCCGGATTAATAAAGGGACTAAGCCAAAAAGAAAATGAATGAAGTTAAAAATCTCCTTGTTTAATTTCACACACTAGGAGCACGAATTTGCAAGTGCAATTGCAGCCATATCTTATAAATGGTCCTTGCACTTATCATAACCTAAAGAATGGGCAATCCTAATAGTGATGCTTACTTATGCTGTTGTGTTTTTGCACATGCTGCAACAGATTGTTGTTCCATATGCTTGGATCCTTTCTTAAAATAGTCACATTAAACTGTGCTGTCTCTGTTCAACAGCTATAGCAGCACTGAAGGAAAGAGAGCCAGGGGCCTTCCTCATCCGAGACAGTAACTCCTTCCAGGGGGCCTACGGTCTGGCCCTGAAAGTTGCCAGCCCACCCCCCAACGTCAATAATCATAGCAGCAAAGGTACGCCACATCTGCAGGCATTTCCTCATACAAACATTCATCTTGCTCCAATGTTGCTCCCAAAGCTCTCTGTCTGCACAGGAAACACACGACTGCACCTGAAGTACTCTAGCAGAGCTAAACAACACCAGAATATAGAGCCAAAGTATCCTAATTTTTTGGAATTACACTTGAAATTCAAGAAAATTGTGATAAATGTCTTCAAAAACTTCTTCTGTCTGTCATTGATCAGACAAACATTAGACCCCTGTAGGCAAAATTATTTATGAGCTACAAGGCAAAACAAGTAAAATGTGTATTAACCCTTTCAGGCTCAAATTAAATTTTAGAAACAGGCAAAGTCTATGCTTTTAACTGTTGCAAATCAGCAACGCCTGCATCCATGGTTCCGGGTTAATAAAGCCTTCATGTAGTGATACCGATTCTCCAAGAAGCAATTAAACAATTGTTTACAGTTTACTACAACATCTAGTTATTAAGTGAAGTTTTACAAACTAATTTCGAGAGGAGCATATGATATAATTGATCGCGACTGGTCCCACATCCATAATTATTAGCAAGTCAATCAGATCAGAGCTGTAATCTACAGGTACATTTTGATTGACAGCTTTATAAAGCCTGAACCCGTTTACAGCCCGACATTATTCAAATGTGCACAGGCACGCAGCTCTTTTGCCTTTTTTTCAAGAATGAGTCATTTATATTTTTAAAATAGTTTTTTCGTAACAAACGTAGGCTATATGCCACTTGGAAGTTGGAACAAAGGAATAAAATAAGTCCTCTGTAACATTGTAACATCTCAGCACACTAAATAGGCCTAGGTACATACACTTAGACTTTAAATTTGCCAACACACCAATGAAAAGAAGTCTTTCTTAACAAATTAAATTAAAATAAATTCAAAATTATGACGAGTATTTGGCAATAATGAAATTAAGATAAATGCTCTGTGGGATTTGTTTTGCCACTTCTCTTCACAATCTGGCATTAAGGCGACGGTGAAGCTGAATAATAAAATAATAGCCTAATGCCAACATTAGCCTGTATACTCTGTCTACATTATGATTTTATGGTTTAATTAATATTTATTTATAACTTAAATAACCCTTTACTTAATAAGATTAGGCTACGTGTTTTGTGGAGGAACATTATTGAATTCACCGGCTTTAGCGCAGTCCTGCGCTCAGGATGATGCATCCAGCAGCACCGAACACCCTTTCACTTCTGCTGCTAAAGGCCGAGATGCATAGATCTGATCTGGCTAATTTTGCAAGTTTTGGGTAGGATTGTTTGCTCTACCAGCCAGGAACATCCATTTAATTTTCCATGAAAGCAGTTTCAATGTAGCGAGTGACCACGTCTTTTTACCTGTCAGCTTGCTGTTTGTCACTGCCGTAAGATCACAAGACTATTCATTTACCTACTGCGCAAGCCAAGCCCAACCCGACCCGACCCCGTCTTATATGATAGAAATCAAACCCGAATCCACCCGAACCACTCGGGACTGGCCGGGTCTGGTCGGGTTTGGGCAAAGATGTTCAGCTCTAAATCAGATCATTCCAAACGCAACATACATATCTAGTCTAACTTTGCTCCTTTATCTTCGTCTTTTAAAGAACCGCCCCATCCACCCTATCTCCCTCATTCTCTTCCTAGATTAATTAAGGATTGGGTGACATGGCGGCTCAGTGGCTAGCATTGTTGCCTCACAGCAAGAAGGTCACTGGTTCGAGTCCTGGCTGGGCCAGTTGGTATTTCTGTGCGAAGTTTACATGTTCTCCCTGTGCTCACATGGGTTTCCGCCCAGGTACTCCGGTTTCCTCCAACAGTACAAAGACATGCAACATAAGTGAATTAAATAAACCAATAGGAACAGTACATGAGTACTTTAATACTGAGCTTTTACCACATAGGTATGCGCTGGTGTGGTTGGGGGTCTATTCCTCTAGGGCTGCTCCTAATGATCAAGAAATTGGCTGAACGAATTTGAGGAGTTCTCGACAACTACCTGATCTTGTACCCCCTTACATGCTTATTGACCAGACGGGAGCCTTGGGCTCAATTATCTCAGAGCTCAGGGTTCTCTCCCAGGACAGCATGCCAAAGCTGCTAACATTATCAAGCAATATCTAAGTATGAACTCTTGAAATGAGGATATAGTTTCTCCAAAGATTCTATAGAAAAAGATTAGCACAGTGTTAAACACAAATCAAATTGTCATCATTTGTGTCAGGGTGCTTTCACACCTAGACTTTTGTTTCAGAATCTGTCTCGTTTGCCCAGTTGCATGGTTCGTTTGGTATATGTGAAACCAGCAACCACGCTTTGATCCGCGCCAAACTAATCAGTCTATGATCGCCTAAATGAGGTGGTCTTGGCTCGATAGAAACAAACTCTGGAGTGCATCGATTGTAGTGAGAAAGTAAACGTGTATGGATATGTCACAGACTTATATGGATATAAGAAGAGAGAATTATGAGTAGGGCGAGATGTGAGGAGAGTTTACTCACACGTAACTTGTTTTAGCTCTTTTGGTCCGTTTAAAAACTTTGCCGTGTGAAAGCGAACCGCACAAAGAACAAAGAGCAACATTGTAACAATTTTAATCCCTGTGTCTGAACAACTGAATCGATTCACAGGTATGAAAGCACCCTTAAAGTCATTTAAGTAACAGATTTACTGGAATAAAAGTTTACACTTTGGGTGTAAACACTGCATAAACACTACATTAGCATAGTAAAAAATGTATTCCATAAAAAAATAAGCTAAATTCAATACCTTTAAAAAGTATTTTGATAGCTAATGACTTTGTCTTGTTTTATTGCGTTGATTTATGACAAACATACAGTATATAGATGTGTATAGCTATGGTTGCAGATGCGGTCAGGTTGATCTCAATTCTCAAGTGTTCATGGACTAACTTCAGAGATATTTGGATGTTCACATGGTTTATATACAGCAGCTCATAGACACAAACTGAGGTCTACAGTGTATGTATATAGGTCATACAGGCAGAATTATGAATAGATGGTTCCTTTACCAAAAAGCATGCTTTGTAGCTCTTTGCTGATTATTTGATTGATTATTTTTTCGTTGTCCTAATTAATACCAGACCATGTAAAGTAGAGAGCATTGTTGCACTGTTTATTTTGGTCTAAATATTTAATTGAGACAACATTGGGAACAGCTTGGGGAATGCTTTGTATGACTTCTGTCTTTAAACAGACACATGTGTTGGTCTAAATATCCATTAATCACAACTGAAGTGCAGTATTTTGATTTCCTGATTTAATATACAACCACCAAACTTTGCATTAAAGATGGCAATTTCCTCTGTGTTAACAGGAGACCCTCTGGAACAGCTGGTTCGTCACTTTCTGATTGAGACGGGGCCGCGAGGGGTGAAGATCAAGGGCTGTCAGAACGAGCCCTACTTTGGTGAGCACTCCAGAAATCCTCTATAAAACTCTATGGGGGCATTCCAGGTGATAATTGATATTGATAACCAGAAATTATCACATGTTAAGAAGAACATTCTTGTGGTGCTATACCTGATCTGGAAGCACAAATGTGGAGTTTATAGAACTGAATGAAATGTGAGCTCATTTTAGTGTGAAATATCTGAGCGGTGCATCAGTTTGCTCAATGCATGCAAGGTATTCAGGCCACAGAACTGTCCAATCTCCACAATATCTCAGTCATGCACTCCAGCAGAGCTCTGAATATGTTAAATAGTTCAGAACGCACGCTGCACATTGTAGGCGTTCAGATAAAGCTCACAACTCTAATGTAGCATTTGTTTTTCTGGATTAGAAAGCCAACAAGTACATTTATGCCTGTGATTAGTTTGCGTCTGGCTCCATTCTGTTGCTTTTGCAATCTGGCAACTTCAGTTCTAAAGGTAAATAATGTTGAAGTGTTATGAAAGCCAAGTGCTGAGGTCCTCTGTGTGTGTTTTGTCATTGGTAGGGAGTCTTTCAGCACTGGTGTATCAGCATTCCATTACACCCATCTCTCTGCCCTGTGCCCTCCGTATCCCAGAGAAAGGTAAACACAACTGCAGACGTCAACACAGCACGCTGAGATAGCGCTGTGTGATGAAAGCACCATCACAACATACACACTCAGTGGGATGCTTGCAAGGTGTTCTAATGCACAAAATTAAAACGAATGCTTCAAAACAACTAAAAAAATCAAGGCAGAGAAAATAGGGATCCAATCAATAATTCTGCTAATTTGTTGCATATTTATTTAGCATTTTCTTTAATCTGCCATTTATAAAAGGATTTGTTCACCCTCATGTCATTTCAATGCCCTGAGACCTTCGTTCATCTTCAGAACACAAATTAAGATATTGTAGATGAAATCAGAGAGCTCTCTCATCCTCCAAAGACAGCAACGATCCCAAGATGTAAGATGTACAAAATCCAGAAAAGGAAGTGAAAACATTGTTATAATATTCAATGTGACTTTAATGGTAATCATACAAAGCCCCAAGAACACTTTTGTGAGCCTCAAAAAAACCCTTTGTTTGCCCATATCTTTGGTGTTATGTCAGGATGTACATTTACTACGGCTAATACAAAAAAACGATGCTTGTGTGTTGCGCTGCTGACTCTAATGACAATACGTTATACTGCCCATCATTAGTAAATGTGCATCCTAGCAACTTGAGGTCTAATTTATCAATTTTGCATACGCTCAAAACAGGGGTGGAAACCACCTTAAATAATCATATGAGCCATAATCTTTAAGAAATAAAGAAAAATGTTATTTTGGTGTGCGTCCACTTTAGGAAGATTTCTACGCTATTAGACCCCTGATGTGGGAAGAAAGATATAAGCAAACAAAGTTACAGCTTTTGGCACATAAAAATGTTCTTGATGCTTCATATGAATACAGTTGAATCACTGAAGTCATTTGGAATACTTTTAGCACTGTCGCCTTTCAGCAAGAAGGTCACTGGTTTGAGTCGCGGCTGGGCCAGTTAGCATTTCTTTGTGGAGTTTGCATGCTCCCCCCATGTTCACATGAAGTATCCCCCAGGGTCCAAACACATGCAGTATTGGTGAATTGGATTAACTAAATTGGCCATAGTGTGTGAATCGGAGAGTGTGTGGGTGTTTCCCAGCACTGAGGGTTGTACTAGGGGAAGGGTATCCACCGGTAAAACAAATGCCAGAGTAACTGGTGTTTAATTCACCTATGGTGACGCCCGATAAAAGCAGAGAATAAACCAAATGAAAGTAAGGAAGTGTGTAAAGACTGGAGTGAAGATGTTTTTTAATTCACCTGATTTCAAACTAATAAATTACATTTAAAATATATTAAAATAGAAAACAGTACAGCTGGATGTAAGTTTTTTCCAGTTATTACATTGCCACAAAACTAAACAGTTAGACACAAAAGATGGATCTCTATTCAGTGTCTATAGAAAAAGTATCATGCCCTATGAAAATCTGTACCTTCAGGCTGGGCCGATAAATGATATATATCGAATCACGATAAAATTTATGTCAATAACAATGGTAAGCTCTGGACTTTTCTTACTCTATATTGATCTCAGAACACAAATTAAGATATTTTAGATGAAATCAGAGAGCTCTCTCATCCTCCAAAGACAGCAATGGTCCCAAGATGTACAAAGTCCAGAAAAGGAAGTAAAATGTTAAAATGTTCAATGTGACTTCAATGGTAATTATACAAAGCCCCAAGAACACTTCTGTGAGCCTCAAAAAAAACTTTTGTTTGCCCGTATCTCTGTCAGGATGTACATTTACATAAGCTAATACAAAAAAAAAAAAAAAGCGATGCTTGTGTGTTGCACTGTTTACACTAATGGTAATAAGTTATAGTGCCCATCCTTGGATGGATCTCTATTCAGTGCCTATAGAAAAATTATCACACCCTATGAAAATCTGTACTTTCAGGCTGGGCCAATAAATGATATTATATTGAATCACGATAAAATTTATGTCAATAACAATAATAAGCTCTGGACTTTTTTCTCTAGATTGATCTACGAGCCAATCACAGCAGAAATGTCCAACAATGGGAATCTAAGAGTGTGTTGATTTTCGGCCACCAAAAATTTATCGTGTGAAAATATGTTATGCCATTATATGGACCCTCTAAATTTGTGGCTTTTGTTATTGTTGGGGAACTCATTTAAATCTGGAAGCATTAACAACCTATCGAAATATAAATTGTTATTGTTCATGATTGCATTTTCGGCATATCGCCCAGCCCTACCTTTACTGTCAAAAGACTCTTGGGATAAAGTTGCAGAAAGGTACAATTCAGGAGAAGGTTACAAAGCATTTCAAAGGCTGGAAAAGTTTGGTGTATTTGGAATGTGATTTGATTTCAGGTTGTATGGCAAATTATTATTTATTAATTATTACACTGTATATACATGGACATTATTTGAAGTACACAAACGAGAATGAAATATTCCAGAGAGCTAATAAATAAATAAATAATTAGTTTATAATAAATAAATTCTAATAATATTTCACAATTGTGCTGTTTTTACTAAATCAAATAAAGCTGCTTTGGTAAGCAAAAAAACTAAAATTTGAAACTCCCTACCAAGCCCTAACCTTTGAATGGCAGTGCAAACATACATAATCACACAACATTTGTGTTTTTAAAACTGAGTGTTTATATCAGCCTCTGCTCTATAAATGATAATGTCTCTCTGTCAGACCCAATAGGTGATGTAGTGGAGGTTCAGCCGGTGAGTAACATGAGCACAGCCGCAGACCTCCTGAAACAGGGAGCAGGTGAGTGTGAAGCTGCACATCTGCACTGCGTCATGTCTTTCTTCACATCTTTAACCTCTGACCTCTGTCCGCAGCCTGTAATGTGCTGTACCTGAATTCAGTGGAGACCGAGTCCCTGACGGGGCCACAGGCTATCGCTAAAGCTACAGGGGCCACATTGTCTCGCAGTCCTCGCCCCTCTGCCACAGTGGTCCACTTTAAGGTGTCTGCGCAAGGCATCACACTGACAGACAGCCAGCGCAGGTAGACACACTAATGCTTTTCAAAGTGTAGCAAAATCTGTGTTCTGTGGGAAATAAGACATGATATGGGGACTAGAATGCACCTATCAGCTGGCCAGAAATCAGAATCAGACATTTTTTGATTGCAAACATGTGAATGTCATGTGCTCAGATTTATTTTCTGGACTTGCATTAAAATTGCTCTGCAATCATTTTATTAACTGCAATTCAGTTTTATTAACGTATAATATTCAGCTTCCCTCACAGTTCAAAGACATAGGCTATAAGCAGGGTGCCAATTACAGAGGGGTTTGGGGGGGATTGACCCCCTCAATTAATGCTTGATCCCCGCTAAAGGACATCAAAACAAGATATATAGGGGGTCAGCTCTTTAATACTAAGAAATAATTTGCTTAAAAGGTGACCTCAGATCTTCAGTGTTTTTAATTTTCACCCTGGTTATAAGTGAATTGGATGAATGAAATTGACCTTAGTGTATGAGTGGGTGTGTGAATGTATGGGTGTTTCCCAGTACTGGGTTAAGGCTGGAAGGACATCCCCTGCGTAAAACATATGCCGGAATAGTTGGTGGTTCATTCAGCTGTGGCCACCCCAGATATATAATTCAAAAGAAAATGAATGAATGAATGAATGAGTGATTATAAGATTAGTCCAGAAATTGGTTTCAGAATCAGTAAATTTGCTGGAAAAATTAAAAAATAAATCAGCAATCAGACATAATTTGGGCGTGAAAAATGAAGATGGGTGCACCAGTAGGGAGGGCAGGTTGTTTGCATTACAAAGAGCTAACTGTGTGAGGTCTGGTTTTTCAGGGTGTTCTTCAGGAGACACTATCCCATCAACAGTGTGACTTACAGCAGCATCGACCCACAAGACAGGAGGTGAGACTGTGTTGACTGGTGTTATATTTACTGGATATCATTGTCACAATAATACAACATAATTTGTTGCATCTTAGTTGAGAAACAAAAACTTGTATTTAAGTTTTTGAAGTTGTATTGAAGAAAACAAAAAAAATGTATTGCACATCCAAGGCAACTTCAACACATTAAAGTTAGAGAAAACAAAGTGGACATAGGAGGATTGTAGTTATTTTTGTAAATTTTTTAAAGGGGTGGTCCAGAATGTTATTTTTAAGGCTTGGTTGTGTTAATAAGATGCAAAGCAATGTGTGCTCATGTTTAACTTGAAGGAAATCGTGTTATTTTTTCATAAATCTCACTTTGATTATACACAGCTACTCAGCTAACATGAAAACGACTGTCATATTTCCTAGTTTCTCTAAAAGGCCCACCCTCAAGTGACTCTGATTGGTCATCATCATAATATGCTGTGATTCGCCGATCGGCTCCACGTCACGCCCTGACAAGCACGCGCGTTTTGTGTAAACAGTCAGTCAGTCAGTCAGTCAACACGTGTCTGTAACGAGTGAAAATGGGATGCGGCTCCTTTAACTGTTTCTGTGCCTTTTAGTGTGTTTATGCGTGTATACGATGAAGTATCTGTAACACGAGAAGCGCATGTGCGCGGGAGAGATTTTTATTGTTCTTTTTCTCTCATGCTCGGATTAAGTTATTTTCTATGGTGACAGAATAAAGCACAAGATGTGAGATGGGACCTTTGTGAGCCTGGATTGATTTGTTTTTGATGTTACACTCCAGTTGGGAAATCATTGCTGTATTTTTTTTAAATCAACGCGTTACAGGACGTCTTTCATGCATATGCGGAATATGCCTGTGTAAGTAACATGAATCGTTCACATATCTTTTGCGACTTTATTGTCCGAGTTGTAAAACGCATAGCAAAGCTGCCTATAGAGAGAAACTCTGCCGTCTCCCACAGAGAGACGCAGGTGCTGGCCAAGAGTGCGTGTATGTGTATGTGTGTGTGTGCGTTTACAGCCGTTTGATAAATATAGATTTGTAACGTTAGCTAAGTCGTTAGCGGTTACCATAATTTCCCGTTGTTTACATCTTTGCTACAACACACCATTAAAGTTAGACACTGTACATGTCATGATCAATTTTAACAAATAAAAACACTTACAGGTCATGACTCAGAGTTCACAGCGTCTCCTTGCTCCATCTTTGAGGAGATTTTAACTGAATCCAGCACTGAACTGGGAGAGATTCTGGAAGCTGTGTTTTGTCAAATCATGCTTGCTATGTATTTTATAGTTCTCTGGAACATAATTAATATTGAACTGTAAGCACTTCTGTGTTTGGGTCGTGTCATTTGGAAGCCCAACAACAGAAACAGAACAGCTCTGTGGAAACAGCAGGATGGCATTTCTCTCTCTGCAGTAACGTTACAGCGCCTATGGCCACGGCCTTTACCTGCGCAGTGTGGGATGCGCAATAACGAACTTTTGTGATCTCACAGGGGGCAGAAGTATTTTTTGTAGTCCCCAAAATTCGTTAATTGTAGGCGTTGCTAAGCTAACTCTGTACAAATCAAGGTCTCCCTTTGCATTAAACTTTGAATATTTTACATTCAGAGATGCTGTTTATGTTCACACAGCTACATTACACATCAACTGAAGTTTAAAATATAATATCGTAGTGGACCACCCCTTTAACAAATTTCTTCGATTTTTTTTATTAAATTTTTTAACTTTGGTTTGCATTTCTTCTGTTTTATTTTGTAAGTAAATGTTTTTTATCATTTATTTTAAACATTTATTTGTATCTTTTTTAATACTCTGTATTGTTTGATTGTTTTTGTTTCACTTTGCTTTGGCTATAGAAGAGTTTCTATTTCAGTTTTTTTGCGTTTATTTTTGTTTCTGGGTATATATTTTTAATTTGTACTTTTTGTTTATTGTATAATGTTTGTTTTTTGTAGTCATTTGTTTTGCATTTGTTTGTTTTGGATATATAAAAATGCATTTATTTGTTGTTTTGCGTGTTTGCTAATATACTGCAGGGGGGTTTACTTTTTTGCTTTGATATCTTTTGGTTTACTTAGTTCTTAATTGTTTTGGTCATGTCTCTATTGATTGATTTTTGGTGTACTTTAATTGGTTATGTTTTTAATATAGGACATCTTAAAATGTATATATGTTTTGTTTTAATAATTGCTTGCCTACAGTAGTAGTAGTAGCACTAAATCTAATCAGGTAGTGCATGATTCTGTTTGGGCTGCTCTGTCTGCGTGTGCATCATTAAAAAAAACTACTTTGTATTTGTATGTTTTCAGTTGTAAGTAAAATACATGCTTTGGGGCTTAAGTTTAATTTTTTTCTTTAAAGATTTTTAAATCTAAAGAATTTTAAGTAATAACTTTAAATGTTTCAAGAAAAGGGGATTTGTCATTCGGGTATATGCAAAAGCCCCAAAGCAGTGCATGTTTTTACAACTGCATGCGCAGCACACTCTACACAAGCAACACAAATACTACAAGCTACCAAAGCTCCATTTCAAGACTCATTGCAATCTGAAATGTGTCAGAACGGAATTCAGCTACAGTCTTTGTGTAGAGTGTGTTCAGACTGAGAGCATGTTTGTGTGACTGCAGCATCTGTTCTGTGTGAGTGTGTGTCTGTTCCTCAGTCTTGTCTATGTCTCCCTCTTGTGGCTGTAGGTGGACTAACTCAGACAGCACGACCTCTAAGTAAGTTGAAATAATATGTGTCGCCTGCACCAGGGGTTTTCAATTCTTGATTTCAAGCACCTCCACATCCTCACGTGAGGACCTTCATCCTAAAATGTAAAGACTTCTTGTATAAAGACCTTATTTAATGAGAAGAATTTAAACAGAGGTCGGAGACAGTTCTAAATGGTCATGCAACCTTGAAGCGGGTGGGACTTGAGCTCCAAGTGGTCTGTACAAACCTCATGGAGTTTTCATTGATTTATTTGATGACTTGTACATGACATGGAGTCCTTATATTGTTTTATTAACGTCTACACTTACCACAACCTCAAACCTAAGCTCACAGTAAAGCTGTGGTCACACATGCCAAATTCGGTCATACAGTGTTGCGAAAAGGGGCAGGATTTAACAAGATTAGATGTTTTAAAAAGCAAGCGATTGGTCCATGTTTTACATTTCTGTCCAGAGAGGTCATCTTTTGATCTTCGATTGGTCTCATGCAGTCACGTGATGCAATTTCGCTGGTTACGCCCCATTCACACTGGGAGTCAGCTTCAAGGGTTCCCATTCACTTTGAATGGTTGACGTCAGGCGTTGCCGAACTGCATTGTGGATCCGTCTGTGCTGCTTCAGAGGTATTCCTCGCTGCAGAAGTTGGGACTCTCTCAACTTTCCAAGCGTCGACAGATGCGTCAGCTAATCAGATCGCTATATGCAAATACTCCATCTCAGCAGTAGCTGATTGCTGACTAATTTCATTGGCTAAAGCTGCTATGACAATCCCGTCAGCACCAACTTCAGACACGCCTTCTGTCAAGCATTGAAGCTGACGCCCCGTGTGAATGGGGTGTTAGAGTTCACCAAGTTTGAACTTTGCAATGCAGCGAACTGCTAAACTTTTTTTTTTATATTGCATAATAGCACAAGTACAATAATTCAATTAACAATTAACAACTCTCAACTACACTTACAGAACAGAACTCTAATAATAATCAAATCAATAAAATATTAATACAAATAAATAAAATTAAACATAGAATGAACACAAACATAACCAACAAAAAAGACATTTACTCTACCAGATCTTCTATTAATTTACATTTTTCTTCCAAATTTAGATTTTACCAACTTAAAAAATTTTAAGTATAAGCAAAATTTCTGCAAACTGCGAAACTAGTCGCACAAGTTTGTGTTTCCGGTTTGTCACATTCAGGGCCATTTGAATGTAAGTCTATGGGGTGAAAAGCGCAGTGTGACGACGGCTTAACCTATTGTTTCATTAACATCTACTCCTACCACAACCCTAAACCCACCTCACAGTAACTTCTTGTGTTTTATTAATGTCTATTACACCTACACCTAGGGCTGTGCGATTTGGGGAAAACATCTAATTGCGATTGTTTCAATTTCAATTTGATTTGCAATATAATTTTGTAGTCAAGCTTCAGCTCACTAATCTGTATAATCTGTAGCTTCTTACTGCTAAAATGCAGGGAGTGTTAGTTTTAAAAAATAACTAAAAAGATATTAACTTAAACTTTTATTCAAATTTGTTTTTCAATATTCAGAAATTAAACACTAATTTTTCTCTAGAGCAAACAGTAAGCACAAATAAAAACCAGTTTTGTTTGTATATTTTGTTTAGTCCGTGACTTTGAAACCAAAATATTTCTATTTTATCGATGTGTTATTTTTTCTCGTTATCATCCCACTCCTTTCTGTTTGATAGTTTTTATTGTGGACTTTCTGCATTGTTCAGTTGTGCAATTCTGATTGGGCAGGACAAAAATGTGCTCACTCAATTGACCAATGAGACTATCAAACACAGACGGCAGTCACGCATTTGCTCTGGGCGGGGGAAATAAAATAATACATATTTCATATTGCAGCCTTTTGCGAATAGCTAATCGCAACGTTTCAAATCATGAATGTGATTTCGATGAATCGCACAGCCCTGCCTACACCAACCCTTAACCCAACCTTTTGGCGGTGCAAGTTCCTCCCACTTGAAGGTCTCTGGGCTACCGTAGAGTAGGGACCTAGAGTATTTGGATTTAATTTGTCAAATGTAATTTAAAGACTAAACTATGCAGTTTCTATAAAACTTAAAAATATATATATTTTTTCTATTCATGCATTTGTTTAATCTACTTATTTCAATATTTGTTTTGTTATTCATTTATTACATTTCTGTTTGTTTTAATTAGATTTTTCTTTGTAAGTATTAGATTTAGTGCAGTTTTTTTTCTGTTGTTTATCTCAAACATTTCCCCAGACCCCTGTACCACTTCCTGGAGGGTCTCTGGGGTACCAGAACCGTGATTTGAAAACCCCTGGTCTGGACAGTTTCGACAGCTTGTTTCCTGTGTTGCTTCTAGGAAACTGATTATGTGCTTATACATTTTTACTTACTCTTAAATGACTATACTGCCATCCAAAGGCAAAGTGAAGTAACTACACATTTGATCAAAATTGCACAACAGAGGCCTAAAATATATTATTCCTGGTTCAATGGTGTCTAGTTTCAGACAAGGTAAACCACAAATTTACCCACATTATATTTATTTGGCTGGTGTAAAAGCCACTTATACTCCAGTTAAAACAGTAACTTTAACTAAAAAGGGCATTTTTCCCTTCAGTTTTTTGTCTAGTTACCGCACTTTGCCAGTTTAGAGCAGTGTAGCACTCCTCATGTGTGTTAGGATTGAATATGGTAACTGAGTGAATGGTAAAGTCAGTTGCTGATTTACAAACCTCCCTGTCTCCTCTCAGAGTTTTCGGGTTTGTGGCCAAGAAGCCGGGCAGTGTGGCAGAGAATGTGTGCCATCTTTTCGCAGAGCTGGACCCTGAACAGCCCGCGACCGCCATCGTCAACTTCATCAACAAAGTGATGCTGGCACCGCAGAGGCGCTAGAGAGCCGTAGGACTGGTCGTCTTCACATACACTGACATGTTTAAAGTCCACACGAGGCAGAAGTTACGACAGTGTTTAATAACGTGTTTTATAAGCGAATGAAACGGCGAGAAAATGTAGGGTGCGACATTTCATTTTGAGAATTGCCTGAATGGTTTTGTTCTGCTATTGGTCGATCTCGTTTGAGTGACAGGTCGTCCCGCCCTCAAGTCAGTAATCGTCATCATGTTGAGGGTGAAGTTAAGTGCGGTTAACATTTAATCTAAACCACACTACTATCTGCTTTCATGCTAACAGTATTTCTTTGTAGCCACTCGTATTTTTTCCATTAAGTAGCCTAATAACATGTATTCATTAGCTACTAGTGGTTCTTCTTTTGAAACTAGTACATTTTAAAACGTTTGTACTTATTAGGTTCAAGTTGTTATTCTTATGAGATAATTTACATTTAGCAACTTACAACTGAGATACGAATACTTAATGATTAGATAGGAATTGATATCTACTAGAACTTATATAGGCTGCACAGCAAGAAGGTCGCTGGTTCGAGCCTCGGCTGGGTCAGTTGGCATTTCTGTGTAGAGTTTGCATGTTCTCCCCATACTTGCGTGGGTTTTCTCTGGGTGCTCCGGTTTCCCCCACAAGTCCAAAGACATCCGCTACAGGTGAAATGGGTAGGCTAAATTGTCCATAGTGTATGTGTGTGAATGAGTGTTTATGGACGTTTCCCAGTGGTGAGTTGCAGCTGGAAGGGCATCCGCTGCATGAAACGTGCTGGCAAAGCTGGCGGTTCATTCCGCTGTGGCAACCCTAGATTAATATAGTGACTTAGCTGAAAAGAAAATGAATGAATGAATAGTACTTAAATATTCTACTAGTTACTTCAGCAGTGACTAGTAAACAATTGCTGGTAGAAAAATAAATTAGTTTTTGCCTCTGAATTCTGAGTCATTATGATATCAACTATTTACTTTTGACTAGTATGTAATTAGTTATTCATTAGGTACTAATATTTGTTGACCAGCTATCTGAGGATATTCAATAAATACTAGTAAATGTTGTGTATTGTAAATGTAAAATGTTATTAGTAATAATTGTTTTACCAGTAACATTTTAATTCTAAAGTGGACATCCTATATGAATAATTACAAAAGATGCTAATGCTGCTAGTAAGTCATGATCAACAAATAAGTACTTGTATATATAAGTACGAGTATATGAAAATGTACTAGTCCCTCAAGAGTTTTACCATCTAAAGACTAAGCATTAGTTGCTAATGAATAAGTAAAAGTACTTAATGGAAAATATAGTATCTACAAATCAAGTTCTAGTTGTATGGATATATAGTAGTATGTTACATAGGTTAAATGTTAATGGTATTTAACTATTTGGATGGCACATGAATACAAATATATGTACAGGTCATTTATATTGCTGAAATGCTCCATAAAAACAAGAACAGAAGATGTTGATTCCATGAGGAATTTAACCGGAGCGTTTCTGCAGAAATAAGGGCTTTACGGTTAACTAACGTGATACCAAAACACATTAAAACCAAACTATACAGAATGTAACCAAACTAAAGACAACAGACTGATGGAGTTTTGCCTTCCTAGAACTGTTTCGTCGTTCGTGGGATTGTAAATGACTTTATGACACTAAACCACCACGATTGGTAAATATATTTATGGTGTTTTTAAAAATATAAAGGGATGGTTCTCCAAAAAATGACAATTTGCCTCAGTTCATTCAAGATGCACATAAGTAACTTTATTAGAACATTAAAAGACATTTATTTTTGCTGAAAGCGTGGTCCTTGATTATTAATAAACTGCAAAAAGGTTTTATATGCGTAATTTCAAGTAATGCATATGCCAAATATAACATAAAAATCCATTCATTTAACTTCGCTTGAGGTGGTTTTGGATTTGAACGAAAAGTGTTATTGCGAATTACTGAGTTACCATCAATACAGACAGTCACGGAAATGTTGGTTTCACCAAATGCCAATTTAAGTATTAGCATACGCAATTACATAAGAGTCAATGTAAATTTATGAAATTGCATTTTGTCATTTTGTCCTTGTGCAAATTGCCAATTGCAGTCACGCATTTAATGTGGTCAAGGGATCAAAACCATGTCAATTGATGTCTGAGATCACATGCCAAATACGTTGTTTGCGCATATTTCACGTAAAATACATGTTAAAGCATATTTTTACATGTAAAATACATGAGTGCGCTAATTTTACGTGTCAAATACACGCTGTTTGCGCTAATTTCATGCGACAAATATGTTGTTTGCGCTAATTTTACGTCTTAAATATACGTTGTTTGCGCATATTTTATTAATTTTACGTGTCAAATACACGCTGTTTGCGATAATTTTACATGTCAAATACGTTTGCGATAATTTCTACATTGTTTGCGCTAATTTTACGTCAAATACATGTTGTTTGCGCTAATTTTATGTGTTAAAATACATGTTTGCAGTAATTTTCTGTCAAATAAATGTTGTTTGCGCTAATTTTATGCATCAAATACATTGTTTGCGCACATTTTCCGTGTTAAATATGTTGTTTGCGCAGATTTTACATGTCTAATATGTTGTTTGCGCCAATTTTTGCATCATATACATTTCTCTAATTTTACGTGTCAAATATATGTTGTTTGCACATTTTATGTGTCAAATACTCTACATGTTTTTTTGCACATATTTTGCATGGAAAATACATATTTGCAGGTAGTTAACGTGCAAAATACACATCCAGTTTCAAGAAACACGTATTACATATATAAACTACATGCAAACAACACATTCTCAATGTGTTTGTTTACATTTTAATGTAAATTTGCACTTTTTAAAATTTTTTTATTTGGCTTTCCGGAAACATCCTGCGAGTAATCTAGAGGGAGTGAAGTGATCCGCATGTTTAGTGTGAACCCAGCGTAACAGCTTTTTTGGCATTTGGGATTTTGTTTTTTGCAAACTTTGAAAGCATGTGCTTCATGTTAAGATGTAAATCTACAGTCTTCTGACATAGAGGGCAAAACAAAATGAATACCCTCTGCTTCTGACAACACACTGAGGCCTTATGAAACAAAAAAAATAAGCCTGTGGAAGACTGTGAACATTATTAAATGAGTGAATGAACAGAGGGTTTTCATTTTTGGTGGAACCATCTCTTTAAGCACTGTTATTAACCCCTGAGTAATAATCTGCTTTATGCACTCAAATGCAAGGAATTCTCTGCAAGGTGACAATCAAAATCCATCTTACTATTCAGGCTAATAGTTAAAAGTGTCCTTGTAAGACTGGAAAGGAGGTGCCATGGTTAGTGAATCTGGCCCAGTGTCTGCAAAAGACTGAGACAGAAAGTTCCAGAGTGTTTGAGACAGAGAAACAGATGGAGGAGCAGACATGGCGGAGAGGAGACTCTGATGGAGTTCCAGTATCAGCGAGATTTTTAGGTCACGTAGTTAGAGGTATTAACGGAAAGCCAATGGTCATGTGTTTATTATCCAGAAAGAATCAGTGACCTTTAGAGCAAGAAGGACTGTTATTCAGAGTAAGGTAGACAGTGGTATTCTTCACTGGTCAATATGTTTTTTTTGGAGGAAGCGGTTTATGGTCACCAGAGCTGAATGAAAAGCTGAAATTTTCTTCGCATGCTCCTTCACAAATCATAACAATTTGATAATCTAACGTTCAAGAAACATTTTTTATTACCATCACTGTTGAAAACGGTTGTGCTGCTTCATATTTTGGTGAAAACTGAGAACCTTTCATTTACAATGGATTGACTTTTTACATCAATGACAAAAACATTCAATTGTAGAAAGAATAAAAGATTTTATATTTAAGTTATTTTGAACTTTTTTTTTCATCAAAATATATCAGTTTCCACAAAACTATGAAGCAGGAAAAAGTTTATAAGAATCGTTATTAATGTTACAATATAAAATATGATTAGCTGACTTAAAAATAGTGAGTAAACCAATTCCCTTCAAGTAAATGAACATAATTAAACTTTTACAGTGTAATAACAGATTATAACCAGTGCTGGGGGGTAAGAGTTAAGTAATATCCCTTTTAGAGTAAAGTGAAACGTAAAGTAATGTATTACCTTTAAAAATTAAGTAATAATATTTGAGTCACTTTTTAGTTTAGGTATTCCCTTTTTTAAAAAAAAAAATGCTGAATTAAAATATACATAGTTACGTTAAATCCTGCACGCAATGAGAGAATGCAGGAACAGAGAGAAATGAATATTGCAGAATAATTAATTAAATTTGAATAATTAATTTATTAAATTTGAATAATTAATATTCTAATTATTTTGAGCGCATTGAAATAAGGAAAAGAGGATTATCTGGATAGAAAAGTACATAAGTAGCAAACATATTGCTTTAAACTTTCATTAATCGGTATATATATAATAAAAAAAATAGCCCCTGCAAGTTCTGAAAGAGATCAAGCCTCAGCCAGGTTAGAAAAAGTTACTCAAAAGTAACGTATCCAGTGGTGGAAAGAGTACTGAAAAATCATGGTTAAGTAAAAGTGCTATTACTTTGCCAAAAGTATAATGCGAGTAAAAGTATCTGTTGTAAATGTTACTCAAAGTATGAGTAAAAAGTAGCCCGTTTTAAAGTACTCAAGAGTAGTGAATATTACGCTGTGAAAAACTGATGGGTTTACATGTAATTTGTGCGTGTGTGTGTAAACGTAACATTCTGTAGTGCATTTAGTTCTTGTTTAAGGCCATTTCCGGTCATCATACAGTAAACATCCGCCAACTTCTCATCAGTGACATGCATCTAAACAGTCTCTGGGTTAGTGCATGTTTAGCAGGGTTGCTCATATTCGATCCTGGTGGGCCGGTGTCCTGCAAACTTTAGATCCATCCACAATTAGACAAACCGAAACCAACTAATTAAGCTTTTACCAGGCGTTTTATAAAGCTTCTGGCAAGTGTATCGAAGCAAGTTGGAGCTAAACTCTGCAGAACATTGGCCCTCCTTGATGAGTTTGGACACCCCCGGTGTGAAGTATCTTCTTGGACACTTTTAATGCTTACAAACAGTTTGCTGTGTGTCTTAAGGTAGTTCAGTATGATGTGATTTACGTTCTGTGTGATTTGATTGGACTGATTTTTCTAATCTCCATAGACTGGAAATAATAAAGTAGGGACTGCAGGTTGAAGGAAAGTAGTTAAAGGACCAATACTGCACTATAAATGCGCTCAAGGTAAAGTAAAAGTAGACAACTTTAAAACTATTTATTAAAGTACAATTCCTGAGTATTTGCGATTCGTTATTTTACACCACTGAATGTAACAAAAAGTAACTATTACTAGTTACTTTTTGGGGGAGATATTGTAATGCACTACTTTCTAAAGTAACTTTCTCCAACACTGATTATAACAGAACAGGAGATCTGCATACTATAGTGATTTCTGATGGGTCATGTGACACTGAAGACTGCAGGGAGTTCTGCTTTGAATCGCATGAATAAATTGCATTAAAAAAGCGTCTGTAAATCAGTTATTTTAGAAGTCAATAATTGCATAACGTTATTGTTTTGATAGGATTTTCAGTGAGGAGACTTCTTCACAACCGTAAAAACTGTTTCCTGATGTCAAACTTTGCACTGGTAGTGTATAATAATCCACGTTGACACAAAGCCTAGCTTGACAAGCAGACAATCACACTTTCGTGCCTGCAGTATCACATACAGGAGCATTATATTGGAATGTAATCAGTCTCTAAACTGATCGGACAGGTGGGCGCCTCCATCTTCATTCTGTGTTGTTTTTATTGCGTAACGATTTCTCGATGTCCAAAAGGTGTTTATAACCAAAGACATGCGGCCATGTACTCGTTCAGTTACTTTAAGCTGTGCCATTTATTTTACATGCCTGTATCGATGAGTTATTGCTGTTTTTGACAGATAGTAAGACACGTCTATGACAACTTTAATATATTGTATTCTGTATTTTTCTTATTGATCTTTGTATGTAGTAATATATTTTCACACATGCAGCTGACTTGGAACGTTAAAAAATGACTACATGGAAGGATTTTGATAAGAAATGTGTTTGGTTTTTGTATTACTATATGTTATTTTTTCAGTGTATGCACAAGATATAATAAATGTAAAGTCATGGTACCAAAAACTCATTCATGTGGTGATTTATTTTATTATCACCAATAGAATGTACAGCATTGCACACATTTCCATGAATAAAGTAGAGAAAATCCTGAATTGGATTCAACTAGAATGCACAAAAACACATGCGTTTTAATTGCCGCAATGCATTGTGGGAAATGCAAATAAATTGGCTATTTAAAGGATTTTATATGCTACTAATTATAAAAACATCCCCATGTTGTCCATAAACCTGTGTTTCTTCTGTGTAGGCAGTAATTAGCGACAGTTTAAAAAATGCCACCGTCGAAAAGTAGTAACTCTTCTATAAGTACTGCAAAAGCCGATTAACTTTGCAGTATTAATTAGATGTGTGGGAGGAGCCTGGTGGGGCTCGGGCGGGCCACTAGTGTCCCCAGACCCCCGTGGATTTTTGTGCTTCTCTTTTTCCTAAAAACTGCACTGAGAATCCACAACAGCTCACTTTACATTGTTCCGCCGGCAGATTATGGAGACACAGAGCACAGTGAACGCTGCTGGACTCACTCATTTTACAGCTTTTATTTTAACAAGTCAAACTTTACAAAACACACATTTATTATTTCACTTGTATAAAAAATTTAAGGATTCATTATTATCACTAATAGCTTTTTCAAGTGTGTAAATTATACATTCCCACATTATTAGGTTATTATTTGTAATTATTATTATTTAAGGTTTATTTTAATATTTATTTACATACATGTATTAACAAAGTCAGAGCTGAAAGTTATAATGATAGTATTAATAATAATTATCATATAATTCTTGTAGTTTTTATTTTTATTTCGTTTATATTATTAAAGTGAGTTTATGCTAATTATTATTAGGTAATTTTCTTGTTTACATTTCTATTATAACTTATTACGAAAGTTTTGTGTTTTTACAGTTCTGTAAATGTGTTTTATTATCTTTTAAATTAATGAATGCCAGATTATTTATAAATATTTATTTCTATGAATAGTTTATTATTTTATATAAATAACTATTTACATAAACCAAAAATAGGTTATGCATTTTTATTGTGCATATTTCTGTTCTTCGTCTTAAACTGCGTTGAAAGACTATTATATGTAATTATTTCATTTAATTTATATTCTTTTTAAATTTAATTTAAATTAATATAATAATTTATATTGTATGGTGTATTTTAGCTTAGCAAGCATATAATAAATGTAGTTTAATGTATTTTATGTTTGCTTACATTTATAGATACAGATTTTTCATATCATTATTATAATTATTATCATCAATATTACTATTGTTTTTAGGCCTTCGTGTGTCATATTTGATCTATTGAAATAAACCATATTTCTGGAGCTGTGTTTGATTTATTGTTTTAATTTAAAGTTAGGAGTTATTTTGTGATTCAGTCTGTGATTCAGAAGCATTATAAACACCTCACGCCCCTGACTAATTATAATGAAAATATTTCGCTCGGGGTTTGCTCGTAAATAAACTCCTGCAAGTTTCTAATTTCGCTTGTTTTTTTAGTTTTTCAAAGCGTCGCACAAAATAATTCTCCTTTAGATTGTGATTATGCTTTTTAAAACTACGGCCCAAATTCAGTATCTTTCGTGTGTTTTTAATCTCGTTTTTGGTCATTGTTGACAGATGCTTGTGAACTATAATGCGCGCAAAACAGCAGACAATAAAGAAACAAGCAGTTAAAAGTTCATTCATCACACTTAGCTATCCTAAAATACTTCATCAGAAGCATAAAATCCTAAAGGTCAATAGCAGCTTGTTTTATTATTTGTGAATAATAGGCATGTAATTTAAAAGAAATTAGCTTTTTTAATATATTATTTTAATTCCGAAATTCTAATATAAAAAGCTAAGCAATTAGGATGAAGAGCGCGTCTGCCGACCCCACAAAGCGCCAGTAAATAAATGCGATTTTTAAAGTTAATAAAAGACAAAATAATCAATATAATAATAATAATAAAATAAGATAATCAATCATTGCTCACTATTCATTCACAAATAATGAACAATGTAAACAGGTGCCAACAGCTTGATATGCAATATAGGTTATTTATTTATTTATTATTATTATTTAGGTCAGTTGGAACAAAAATACTTCATTAATTCATTTGAATCTTGTGGTTTTTTTTATTAAAACAAAAGTTCTCAGTTCAGATTATTTTACAACATTGAAAGATAATAATTAAACAGACAGATTCCTTTGTCATTCAAAAATAAATGACAGCAACTTAAAATACACATTAATTGAGATGTTTACTGTTACTGTCGCACATATTTCACACACATCTGCACAAATTTGACTGAAGTCCACATTCAAACACATGAAAGACTTCAACTGGGCCATTAACATGTTTTAAAAACTGAATAATCTGAAGGACACATTTTTATCAAGTTTTGAAAAAGTGAAAAACTTAAACTGAAGCGAATAAAGTAATAAAGTAACTAGAATTAAAAGACCTTCATATAAATATACAAGATGAACAGGTCATTTTGAATACTTTAATAAACGTATTTGTTTAATAAAAATCATACGCGCTTCACTAAAATATCTGTATACCTGATGCCAACGAGCAAATAAAGCACTTTATTAAAATAATGAAAAGAAAATATTTACAAACTGTTTGGTAAACGGGTCAGCTTAAATAAATAAGGCAAAGGGATTTTCTGTGATCATTAAAATGAAAGAAAAGGCATGAATTTGTGAAAGGAAATAAAAAAACTCACTCGCTCACCATCCTTTAGATCAGGGGTTCCCAAACTATAACCTGATGTTATAAAATCAAAATGCATCTGACGCTATTGCTGCCTTAAATATAATGCAATTACCCCAGGGGTCGCAATCCAATAGAACTAGTAATTATAAGCTACTATTGTAATAGTATATAGTAACTAAACGACTATTTTTATTTTCAGTATAGTTATGGATAAAATATGTTAATTCTTATGGTTTAATAAAAATAAATAGATTTTTGGAAATCACCAGGCAACCCCCCTTCATTGCCCCGCGACCCCTCGGGGGGTCCCGACCCCCACTTTGAGAACCACTTTAGATTATCTGCTTGATCAGTGGAATGATCCGCCGATTACTCTGTTATGTTTTACAGCTCTTCCTGCCACAACCCTCGGTGCTGGGAAAACCATGCTGTACTTCTCATTTACACACAAACACACACAGAGAGCTTTACAGTGTGTGTTTGGAGTGTGGATGAAAGAAGGTGAGGAAAGGGAGAACGTGCAAATTCAAGCCGGAAAGAAATTTCTCCAAGCAGGACTCGAACCCTACACCTTGTGACTGCGAATCGTCTACTGAGCCACTTGGCCGCCGGAGCAACTGCTGAAAAAACCATACTACATAGGGGTTCACAGAGCCACGGGTGTTGTTTCAGTATAAACGTGTTTAGTAAAGTTTAATTTGTTGAAATAAAAACTTGAAAATGAGTGAGTCCAGCAGCCTCAGCTAGGGGTAACAGGTTCTAAAAATGTTTCCACTTTCTTTTCTTTTTATGGCCCTTTTATTCTGAATGACCCCCTCTCTGTTCATTGGCTGGTGGCATGTTATAAAGGAGTTCAGGACAGGTCATTACTATTCGCGCCGGCCGGCCGGCCAAGAGAGTGGTCGTGGTGAGTGAGTGCTCCTGTGAAATGTAATTTTTGTTGATCTTTTTGCGTTTATTATACGCAATGTATGTTTGTAATTCCAAGTTTATAATTGCTATTAAGCAGCCATCATTGCAGGACGACATGTTAGATTGCTGAAAGTGATGAGTGTGATTTTACTGTTTAGCTGAATAAAGTGATGGGTCCAAGGTGTGATTTGGTGTCAGATGTGAAATTGATGAGATTATTCGTGGATCAGAATAAGTGAACAGTGCAACTAAGTAAAAACTAGTGGGGTTTTGGACAGAGATTGAGTAAAAGCCTCCACCCGTACGCCAGGGAAACACGTCCATCTCCCTTGGTGGCGTACGAGCTTCGGGGGATCGTATGGGAGCGCGGGGCTGTGAGCCTGCCAGATCATTCGTGTGCGCACACGGATGATCTGGGATCTCACTTGAGTGGTAGCCCCGCCCGAGCCACACCAAGCTCCTCCCACACATCCAATAACCGCCAGATTACCAGCCATCTTTTATAGTAGGTATATGAGACTTACTTCTTGTGGACGGTGACATGTTTTAAACTTTCGCTAATTACTGCCTACACAGAAGAACCAGATGTTTAAGTACAACATGGGGTTGTTTTTATGGTTGAAATATTTGTTATTAGCATTTAAAATCTTTGAAATAGCTAATTGAATGCATTTCCCACAATGCATTGCGGCAATTAAAACGCGATGTGTTAATCTTGCTTTCCAGACAAAACCAAATCAAGATTTTCTCTATTTTTTTAATGGAAAAGGTGTGTAGGATACTAAACAACGCATCAAGATCGGAGGTGCGACTCTAAGAACGATAGAGCAGCGTTTGACTCGTTGGCCGTTTGATTGACAGGCGGTCCGGCCAATCACAACGGACATATGCTTTTGCCCACCCCCCAGGACTGCTCGAGTGGATTTCTGCAAAGCCGAGCCACTAATATGCTTCGGTAAAATGTAAAAGTGACCGTTTCCAATTTCATTTTACAGCATTGATGATTTACTTTTATTAGGATATAAGTTAATACTTTAGGTAAACGTAGCATTCATTCAATTGCTCAAACGCAGCGAGCATGATGGCATGACAGTTCAAGTTTATTTAAAATGAAGTGAACAGGAACAGGTAGGCTCTATAAATACACATTTACTTATCAATTACAGCTTTGTAACGTTAAGTGGCACTTGACATGATTACATTGAACAAATAAATAAATAAAAGCTCGGTTTGGGTGAAACGCCCGAACTCCTTGAAGCGGTCTGAGGTAAAAATCCTGAGATGTTTCTGTATTTTCAGCTTAACTTTACTTATTTCACATTTAACCGTCAAACTGGACAAACAGCACCATAATAACCACTTTATAATGATTTAC